TTATATGCATGTCGGAGTGTGTAAAGAAAGTCTATGTTTGCCCTTTTTTCTAGATTGATTTGTTGGGGAAAAGTAGGGTGGGTCGTGAAACGTTTTTATAGTGTGAAATGGTCCGATCTTTTGGTAAATTTTTTACTCTTCAGGGAACGCATTAAAATCTTGGAAATTCTTGTGGAATTTATTCCATTATTCCCCTTTTTATGTTCCCAAAATTTATATATTTGCAGCATTATCCCTTTTTAAATTTCATTCAAAAATCAATCTGCAGCCAGCCAAAAATCCACTTTTAAATTCCACATACGCCCCGTATAACGCACAGCCTTCATTATTATTTTTATTGTAAAACCTCCAGAGCGATATGCCTCCATGGATCCATGGCTGTGGCCATTCGGTGGTTTTTTCTGTGCCACTGGGCAGCGGCGTTGTATTTTATTTGTTGCCCCGATCCGATCGCAGTCTTTTGGGTGAAAATGAATTGCTTGTAAAAATGATTGTAAAACAACGCCAATAACCACAGCAGCAACAGCAGCAGCAGCAGCAACAACAGCAACGGCAACGGCAGATTGTGGCAGAGATCTGCGTGCAAAATGTCATTAATCATTATAATTTATATAGGAGGGCCCAGATCATAAACAATCGACTTCGGGGGCCGTTTACCAAAACGTTTTCTTTTTTTTTTTACGCATAATTTAACATTTCTTGTCAATGCTGGTTGGTGCATGGCATGCATTGGGGCATGAAAGACAATGAATGTTGCAAGTGAGGGGAATTTTAACTAAATATTCGAACTAAATACCTGGCCTAGACCTTTTTATATAACAAGAGAGAGAAGAGCACCTAGCAGAAGCATATTTAAATACAGTTCATTGCCACCTGTCTAAAAATAACAAAACAGAACTCTTGGCTGCCGGAAAAGAGCCACCGCTACAATACCGTACCATAACCCACGCCAAAAAAAAAAACCGAAGAAACTCTGAGGCAAATCCATTTGACATATTGCGCTGTATTCGTATTCCTCCACTCTCTACCATAATCCGCGTACCACTCTCTATGTTTTTGCTCTCTAGAGAACTATTCCTATGCGTACCGTAATCTTATCTAAAACAAAACACTTTCGCGGGTCTCTCCGTCACCATGTTGCCTGGCGCATAAATCACCCACCACCACCACCACCAGCACCAGCACCACCACTGGTCACAAAGCAGCACCAGTGCTGGTGGTACCATACCATGCCGTTCTGCCATTTGCCTGACTGATGATGAGCCCCAGCCCAACCTCGCTGACAATAGCCCGTCAAGTGCTGTCTTCTTAGTGTCTGTTGTCTGTCCGCCAGCCACCCACACACGCCACTAGAACTCACACACGGACACGGAAGTGTCCCATGAAAATGTTGTACATGTGCTCCAAAATAGTGGATAGCTTTACATCTTTTATTTGGAGAAGAGTCTGTTGGAATTTCGAAGAGGTTTGATTAGGGGAAAAAGAGATTCACTTTTAGCAGATATAAAAGATACAACCTCATAAACATAGATGGAATATTACAGAAAGAATACTAGAGACTTGTTATATGAGTTTAGGGAGGATTTTCTGTGGTACTTTCATGTAGAATCCTTTCATAAAAGAACGTACCATATAGCCCAATGTTTTCCCAGCCCTTTCCACACTTCTCTTTCGCAGCCCACTTTTATAGAGTATCACATTATTCCCTTTGCCATGTCTCAGCCATTTCCTCTTGTGCTGAAAAATTTGTACAATAAATTTGTTTGCCGCCGCCGTCTGGCCACAAGAAAAGGCAAACACCAAGACACCAGAGGCAATCTCCTTGTCCGAGAGCTGTCTGCATTTGTATCTGTATCTGTGACGTAGCTAGAGCGTGAAAATGTTTGTGTAAAATTAATTTATTGTATTATGTGAGGATAGTGATATAATAGACGATGCTCTGAGGAATTAAACGTGTTGAAACACTTCCCTTTATGCTCTCGAGTATATTAATCATGATCTCGAGGGATTATCATTGATGCCATTTGCTGAATCAATTTATCCCCCTTTGATGTGGCAGAGAATAGTTCTTTGATTCCGAAATAGAAGTGGAATGCATTCGTTTTCCTTTGCCAACAAAAAAAAAACTTTAGTTGTCTTTTGTTTGCCAGCAGAGACATTAAATATTTGGACAAGCAATTTAAGCGAGAAGACTCTCCTCCATTGATTGCAAATAATAATGTGAAAGATCTAGTATTTAAAAAGCCAATTAACAGGCTTAACCCTCGCGTCACAGAGTGACAGTGAAAGTAAATGCCAGACCCAGACCGGGGATCGATGCATGGCTTCGGGTCTCTCCGGTCTCTGGTCACTGGTCACTGGTCTCTGAGCCACTTCATCAACGTACAATATGCAACGTGCAATGTGGTGCTGGCTATGAAAGACGTGCCGTAAATTAAGTTATCAAAAATGTCTGTCGGAAGCTTTTAGCATCTTCCAAGCTTCACTTTTGGACTTCACTCAACTTCACACCTCTCCCGGCATCGCATAGCACCACGCACTAAATCAGTCGCATAATTGGTGCCCCGTCTGCCGGTGTCTGCCTGCCTGCTTGCCCGCCGGTAGATGAACGGGGAGTACGAGCACTCTCCATATATCATCATGAAAATATGCACGCCCCATGCCAAGGGATCGGGATCGGGTTTGGGGTCTGCGGGTCGGGGTCTCCTCCTTGCCACTCCAACACCGTTAGCTGCTTCAGCAATTTTTTTTTTTGTGGCAACTGCAACTGGAGTTGAGCCTCTGCTCTGTCTGAGCCCCTCTGACTTTTGGAGGTCAACTGGTTGATGAGGCTGTGCCACATGAAGATCGGGAGATGAAGATGTGGCTTCCACATGGAGGCTTGAAGTTGTGCCTCAAAGTAGAGAGCAAAATGGAGCTAAAGATGAAGCTTGAATATGGCTACAGATGAGGCTCAAAGTAGAGCTAAGATGGAGCTAAATATGAGCTATAAATTGGAGTTAAAGATGAAGTTGTGGCTCAAGTGCAGCTGAAAGTTGAGGCTCGAACAGTAGCGAAAGATAATCCTCAAAGTGAAGCTAAAAATGATCCTCAAACTGAAGCTGAAAGCTAAAGTTGACGGCCTGGAAAATGCATTTAATTCGGCAATTTTTATAAAGTTTAAACAACTTTATTTTGACAGCAAGGTGTCGCTGTCTGTAAGCTGACTTGCTAAAGACTTTTTGGCTTTCCATGTAGCCAAAAAAAGCCTCAAACGAATAACTGATTCACTCAAATTTTATCCACACATTTCTCAACAGTTTCCTCATGGATATCCCAAGAAACTCTTTTTTCATTCAGACTCCTTCTTCACACTTTTGCTTTTCTCCTCATCATCATCAGCCTAACGTGAATCTTGGGATGCCATATCAGCAGCAATCTTTCTCCTATCAAGGCCATAGCCCAAAAAGAAAAGTTTATTATCTTATGGGCCCACTCCAGCAGAAGCTTGGCAGGCAGGAGCGTGATTTTGTTGCACTTTGTACAATTAGGAGGCCATAAAGCCCTCACTCACCCACTAATAAACACAAATTGCCTTTGCTTTGGCCTCCGGATTTGGTGGCTTGTGAAAGTGTTTTTGCTGGCTGTCTGTCCCGAAAAACCGAGTGAGATTCTCATTTTGCCCACTTGTTTGGGGGGGTCTATAAAAATCTTGCTCACTCAAATGCAAGCAATTCAGGGGGAAGAGGTCTTATAAAAAAGCTCTTTTATGGAGTAATTTCAATCTTATCGCACTTGAGACGCATTATCGCAGTCCTCATCGAGTCCAAAATCAAATTAACACCTGAAACCCGCAGCTCAAAGCCGAAAGCACTGCTGGGGACAAGGCAAAGTGCAGGTAAAACGAAATCCGGATACAATCTATGCGGCAATCTCTCTCTCTCTCTCTCTGGTGGCCGCCTCCTGATGTCTCAATGCTGTACAACAAGTTTTTCGGGGCTTGCTTATCATCGATTGCAAATTGGGCGCCCAAAAAGAGTGAATGAAAATGAAGCCGTAAATTAATTCGGTTACAAAAAGTTATGCAGATCGTCGTCACAATCAAGAGGGGCAAGATAACTACATACTCGTACAGCTCTTTGTGTGTGAGTCATTCGCTCGCATATTTCCCCCAGAGAGACGGGCAGAACTGAGAACTGAGGTAATCAGGCCGAGCGGTTCATTAAAGCAAAAGATTTATGCCCTTTAGCCTCACACACTAACGAATTTATATGCCAAATAATACAATGCTGCTCCACCATTCGTATGCTGCCATAGTATGTAGTCCAAAGCATACGAGTATTGCCAAATCAAGTGTCTAACTTAATGATCCTCAACATAAACAGAACTAGAATATCTAGCATTTGTAGCAGGTCATCTGTGGATTAGTAGGGTATATTGGACTACAGTATGGGGTATGTAACAGGAGCAGGAGCAGGGTTTTTTTCTAAGTATATTTAGATAGAGTTTGGTAGAACGGCTTATATTGTATTTAACTTTAATTAATCATAACAATCCCTCCAGTATTACTTTCCAAAAATAAAAAATAAAAAAATCACCCAATAATTATGATTTCTGTACTAGAAATCCAGCCCCGTTTAGGGGTATTTGTTAGTCTTAATCTTCAGCTCTCTGACATTCCTTCATCGTAAGATTTCTTTTGGCAGTTTTTTGAGGCCTCTCCTCTGCTCTATCCAAAGCATTTTATGAGAACTTTCAACTTGTGGGCGCTACACCTATAGAAAAATAAACACCTATACATATATCTATGTATATGTATATGTATCTGTATATGCGCCGTGTGGGCGTGTATTATTTCTGATATTCGAAATATTTCATATGAACCATAAGGAATTAGTTTATTTGGTTGTTTATTTAGTTAACAAAAAAAAAGTAAAAACCAAACATTAAATATACTCATTGAAGAAAATAAACCAGCACAAATGAAGTGAGTAATCGTATAGTTTACTGTTAGTACTCACTGTATTCACTCTGCTCGTCTTGGGTCCCATTGACAGTGCCATCGGGCAGCAGTTGGAGTATGCGATTTTTGATGTACAACTGGATCTTGCGGGAGGTCCATGCCAGATGCGATTGTGGCACAGTGGAGCGTTCATTACGATCCAGATTGTTGATGGGACTATTGTTATTACTGTTACTGTTACTGCTATTTATGTTTAGATTATTTCTAGAGTTATTCAGTCTTTTCGATTTCGAACCAATGAAATTATTATTATCAGCCGATGGGGACTGTTGTTGTTGCTGTTGCTGTTGATGTTGATGATGCTGCGGATGATGATGCTTTTTCTGCTGATGTCTGATGCTCCTTTCGGTGCGCGATAGCACCGCTAGATGTTCGCTTGGACTTGCCGCAGAGATGACAAATCCCAGCGGTTCCTCCACTTGATCATCATCATCCTGCTGCTGATCATAGGATTGTGATGTGGTTTCTGTTTCTCTTTCTTCTATTGTTGTTGTTTCTTCTGTTGTTGTTGTTTGTATGGCAGTTGATTGCATGGTTAAACTCTGATTAAATTCAGCATTAATACTTTGATTTGTTGTTTGATTTATTACACTCACTAATTTACTACGACTATGATCACTTTGTAGATAATTACTATTACTAAACCGAGTACTATTTGAATGGCTGTTGTTCGTGTTGTTTATTTGTTGGTTCGATATCGTTGTTATTGCCATTGGCATCGCAAATACCAAACAGCCCTGCCAGGCAATGAGACACGAAAGGAGGGCGCCCAGCAGCGCCAGGGCCCTCCAGTCCAAGCGCAGGTTTATTCGCATCAAAGATCACAACTTAAGGGAATTTCACAAGAGTCTTTTCTGCTCCTCCTCCTCTCAATGTTTATATTTCACCTCTCGCTTGTTCGCTCTTCTCTGCTCCTCTCCTCTCCGCTCCCCTGTGTGGATGTTTATAGTTTGTTTGGGCGCCACGCCCTTGAAACATATGAAACGTACGCCCCTTCGCTTTAAAGAAATCTTTTTTTCCCTTTTTTTTACTTTCGTTTTGGTTTCGTTGTTTTTTTTTTGGGTTTTGTTTTTTATCGTTGAGTTTTATTTAGAGGCGAGTCTCTCTCTCTGTGTGTTTGAATGATTTTCAATGGAAATTAGGTTATCATATCGTAGACGCGTTGAACACTTTTCAATTGCGGATCTTCATCTTCGTCTTCCCCGCTGATAATGCATCTTATCATATGCAATGACTTTCGTGTCATGTCAGAAGGAATAGGCATCGCTTCCTGCCTGCAAAAAGAACAACAACAAAAGATACATTTTCGATTAGATATATCTTGGAATTACAAATTAATAATGATTGCCGACAGACAACAATTTATAGCTCAGATTTGCAACCATCGAGTGGCTTAAGCCCAAAATGGGTATATAAATTCTTCATTTTAAGCGTTTCTAACGCAATTTTTGACATTTTAATTAGTGTGTTCGTACGTCCGTCCGTCCGTCCATCTATATATATATAAAGACCCACAGAGTGTGAGCGAGTCTTGCCTCATAGAACTGGCACAGTTTATTTTTGGTTAAGATACAATTGTATCTCATCAAGAAGTTACATAAAGTAGAAACACGGCTGCTGCCCAAAGGGAGCAGTTACGCAAAGGAAAAACACTTTCCCCCAAATACTCGGACAAAACGAAACGAGAGGGAAAACTCACACGATTGTCGACATGGCAAATTGTTTAAAAATAAAGTCACCAAACAACAAATACAATTCGCAGCAGCAGCAGCACAAAACTGTGTCGAATTTGAAAATAATCACGCACTAACTGCAGCCAAAAGCGGACGCGACGCGTCGCCACAGCAGAGACAGCGACAGCAACAGTGGCGGTATTTGTATCTGTAACTATGAGATACTAGCGCGCCACTGCGCCGGCCGGCGGGGTGGAGACTGAGTGACGTTTGCCACTGCACTTAGACTCCCGGCGGCTGCCTGCCTGCCTTTTTGGCACGTGTTCAGCAAACCTACGCAGCAGCAGCAGCTTCATTTTCATTTTCTGTGCAACATTTAAGTGCAGCGCGACAAAAAAATCAAGCAGGAACAACAAATCAGACACCACTCATAATAGAAAATGTTAATTGCTTTCATGTCCTTTCTGTCGGCGCAGTTATGCAATGGCCCTTTGAGATACAGATACAAGGCAAGCGTTTTAAAACGCACAAAAAACGCGCCAAACTGCTGACAGCATTTGCAGTCGTAAAAAAGCGAATAAGTCAGCGGAATAAATCACGGAATTTAAATAAATATGTAATATAAAAATCAGCAAACATTCTGCAAGTTTTTCGGCAGAAGAAAGGCTTTCCTTGCCTTCCCTTTCACCCAGATATATAGTCACATATGTAAAAGATATGAACGTATGGGGCTTGGCACACATTTTGGCCGGTTCTCAAGACATTGTTTATGCCAGCAGCAGCAGCAGCAGAATTTATGTTAAATTCTGGCCATGGGGAAGGGCAGGGGCAGGCCACAGCCACCACATCCAACAGAAGCGACAGCAAACATTAAAAAACCAAACGCGACTCCAAAAAAAAAAAAACCAGAAGATATAAAAATAAACCCAAAGATGGAAATAAGCCAAAATCCCTAGATAGAAGTATAAAAATCCCACCTTTGGGTGGCAGGCATACAAATGTATCTTTTGGTTTTACGACTCCATCTCTGCTGCCGCCCATTGGATCCGTTCCATCTGTCGCTCTCCGCAATTCAACAAATTATGATGAACATCATCGTAAAAAACCATAATGAAAAGCTGCTGTGTGTTTAAGGCCCCATAATATGAGCAGGAGATCCATAATTACAGTGATTGCTGGACGTACGGGAAAGCGAAAGTCGCATGCTCCTCCCTGGGGGGTACTTTTCAATATAATAGATGGATGGTTGCTTGCTTCAAGATTCTCTCCGTTTAACACTTCCAGGAGGGGCAAGATCGTTTAACTAGAGATTTGATTGCATATCCGTTATAAAACTGGATATTCACTTAACCCATTTTTAAGTGGTAAACATTGGTGGCCATCAAACTAATGTCCCAGTCACAAAAACAAAACAAAAACTGCCCGCAAGAAAAAAGCTTCATAATGAATAGGCCAGAGAAGTGTGGCGGCAGCTTTAGTCAGCGAATGAATTAATTTGATAATAAAAATGTGCGCACAGTGGAATAGAAATGGGATTCAACCAGATTTGCATATTTAATTTTAAACTTATGTACAGTTTATGTTATTTTCCACTACAATTTTGACTAATTTTCTGCCCCAATAATTCCCCTGTTTGCTTTCCACTTATAGCAAATATATTCTATCCATTTTTCCCATCAATTTTGATCACTTTTCACCTATGCATGTCCCACTGTTTGCTCTGAGCGGCATTCCATTTGATAAATGAAACGAAATCATCTTTCGTAGCTCTGCGCCAACAGCTTGACAACAAGTCACCCAAAAGTCGTTGAGCACAGACAGAAAACAGCAAACATCCGAACAGCCGAACCTAAACATAAATTCAAATTAGCAGCAGTACAAGTATCTGTATCTGGAGGAAACAACACTAGCTTAAAGGGGGATGGGAAGGCGCATGCCGCCTAGTCATTGAACTGCTGCCAGACAAACTGATTAGCAAATTTCGTTATGTTTTTTGTTTTTGGTTTTCTTGCTGGCTTTGTTTTTGTTGCTCAGTGCCAAATTTATGCGCTTGACAGTCGCAGACAGATGGGGCAGGTATCTCTTTTGGGAAAGTATCTATGGGATGGGAGGGTGGCGATAAATCTAAGCCTGGGGGCTGCGCAACTTAATTAGTTCACGTCAACCGCTTGGTTACTTTACAACAAAAACAACAAAAAAAAAAACAAAAGCGGGAAACACGCTCTCCGGACATTTATTACATTGCCTGAAAAATGTTAATTTTAATGTGATTTTTATTTAAGCTTTTATTCGTTTTTTGTTTGCATATGCAAATGTGCCTTTACGCGATTTGAAATTAATTTATTATAACAGTTGAATTAAAATTGTTGATAGACTAATAAAATAAATATGCTATGGCACATTAGCATAAATACTAAGTATATACCTACTATTTCTATAACAATCGCAAATTAAATGTAAACCAGTTTTTGTTGGTGTGCGGCTTTTCGAAAGTGAAGGTTTTTATATTTAAATTTTTTTTTGGCTTAGAATTTGTATTATTTATTTCATTTTCATTAAATTTAATGCGTTTTAGTTCGAGATGATTTATTCTTATTTTCGTTGAAGTTATAGCCTGGCAAAATAATTTGCTAATGCTAAAAAAGTTAAGAGGTTTCCGAGGCAGAAGACCACAAATTCCCAGACATCTAATGGGGTGTTTTCTGTGGTTACTCTTCGGAGGGTCCCCCATCCATAACCTTAACAAAGTTGTGTTGTAATAAAACACACACGAGTCGTATATGGTATGTGGTAATACGAAAAATATTTCAATGCCAAACAGAAAGCGAAAAGCAGCCCACAGAAACAGAAGATATAAATGATATTTCTCTATAGTTGAAGATACATTTTGGATGACGTTATTTTTTTGGCTTGTTGACACTTGTCACAAGATTGAACGAGAATAAATATACAATACTTGTCTTCTGGCTGAAAAATACTCTATGGAATACTTAGCCAAAGATTGATGTGCGGTGGCATTGCACTGACAACTGGCTTATGGCCTATAGGCCAGATGAATCTATCTGCGAAACAGAGAGCAAGATGCATTTCCCCCCACCTCTGCCCTATTCTCACGTGTTTACAAAACAATTAATTTTCTTTAGAAAAACAGAGAACTGTGCGCGTGTGTGTGTGGAAAATGGAAATGAAAAAGATACCGATGCATAACTCAAACAAGCTGCAGCCCAGACGGACCGAATGCACTAATCGATGGTGCACTTCATTTGTATGGAAAACAACGCATAAGATACTTGAGGGGCAGGAGCTGGAGGAGGGCCACACTACTTCTTGCGTTGGGGGAAAGCACTGCCGCGGGGCAGGAACAAAAGGGGCAGCAGCAGCAGCAGCGCTTTTGTGTAATCGATTTGAACCGGAAGCAATTGGGTTGCAGCCACGACGGTAGCAGCTAAAGAAATCCTCTCAAGATGCAGCTATTTTAAATATTTGGTGCACGAGACAGCCACAGATACACACACACACACACACACTTACAGATGCACACACACTGACACACTGATGAGAAAGACATTCAATCACATGCGAGGTGGATGCTAAACAACAAAGCAAATATCGGTCGCTTCAGATATTGACAAAAAAAAACACAAAAAGCAGAAAAATGTATCTCGAAGATACAAGCGATTTGCACGCAGCCATCAAGCAGAGAACATGAATCGATCTCTGGCAAAGTACGAGTGTCTTTGGCTATTGATAGATGCACGATCGATTCAATGATATCTCGATGATGAATCAACATTTTAAATGTGCACAAAAAAAGGCGAAAAAGTTATCTCTAAAGGCTTGAGAAATATCTAAAGTTACCACTTAAAAAGTAACTAAAAATCTCTGAAGAAAAATTCAAAATATTTAACATTAAAAAATTGTGGAAGTTGGCTTTCTTGCCTTCCCTAAAAAAAGAACTTTAGGCCACTGCAAAATTATCTCCATCTATTATTGTACAATTATTACTTCCAAATATATCCCAAGAAACAGCAAACCACACGATAAAACCATCAACCAAAGTATCTTTCAACTTCCAAAACACATGTATCTCTTACATCTCTAGAATGTATCTCATGTATCTGCCCATTAGCACACTCATCTCCTACACATTGTCGCACATTTATTGCAGTCTAATTAAAAGTCACGCACTTTACGTGCGAAAATTAAAACAAAAAAGCAAAAAAAGGCAACCAAAAATTCAAAGACAACGCGTCGTATTAGTAATGTGACAGCAGAGACTCTAAAAAAAAAGCAACAAAATCTACAACAGCAATTGCGTCTAGGATATTTTAAAACTGCGTCAAACAACAACAACAACTAAACCAAAAAAATAAAAGAAGCACCAAAAGAAAAACCAAAACAACAACAAACCTAAAGAAAATACGCGACGATTTTCTGGTTTCTTCTTTTCTTTTCTGTTGCTGATTTTTTAGCTTGTTTTTTTAACCTGAGGGGTGTACCTAAAATTGTGGCCATATGTGTGTATGTATGTATGTCCGTGTGTGTATGTTTGAACTATAGTATGTTGTCGCCGCTAAATGTATGCCGCACATTATGTGGTCTAGTGTTCACGCTTCATTAAAACAAACGCTGCATTTTGTACCAAGTTATCCCGCATTTTTCGATGTTTTTTCTTTTGTTTTTTCGTTTTGGTTTTTCTTTACTTTTAACTTGAGTTTTTCTTTTACTTTTACAGTGCACATTCCACCATTCCATATGCCGCCTTTTGTGGCCAAAAAGCAAAAACTATTTACGCACTGACCATAAAATGAAATGATTTTTTTTGCATGCGATAAGCCTTTATCTACGACCTATGATCGTTGTATATTTTATACTTTGCCTCAACAGAAACCATCAATCAAGCTCCCAATTTGAGGCGAGTAAATGTGTCACAAAGGCCAAGTGAAATGTTACCCAACAAACGCACCATCCATCCATCCGTCCAGAACTGAATATTAAATGAAACTGCGACTACGAATGTTTAGTCTGAGTATATTTGATGATTGGCCAGGCTTTACGACAGCTCAAATCAAGCGGAAAACACGACAGTCTCTCGGGATGGATCCATTATATTTTATGGCCCAAAAATGAATTTAATTTCAATTAATTTGAAACAGCTCCCCAAATGCAATATTATTTAATATTCTCCACTAAAGTTTTTGTTGTGCGAGGCAGGCAAAATTATTTATGGGCTAAATTTTATGGTTCGACTTTTCACTTAGTGGATCACCCCCATTGACGTAGTCCGAATAATTTGTGGGGTATACTAAAATATTTAATCACTCACTGCCTTCGTTTTTTTTTTTTGTTTGTGTGCCTTTTGTGCCCTTGGTAGAAGTTTTTTTTTTGAGTTAACGAAAGTGTGTCGTAGGGGAAAGGGTTAAAGGGCAGGGGTATTTCAATACGTAAGGCATTCCTATATTCCTATTCCAAATATCACAACACATATACTCAAATATTCATTAATTCCATATAAATCATTTTTAAATAAAAAACACACAAAATTTGCTCGAAATAAATTCTAAGAAAATATCTCAAATATTTCTCACCGTTAATAGCCTCTATAAATATTCCACTCTAAACTGATTTAAGCACTCGATGAAGACGACTCATTAATTTACTAGGATATCACCTGCTCTTGCCCCACAATTCATTCATTTTTATAGAATATTATCCCCTTCCTCATTTTTCTGCTGTCAAAACTATGATCCCGGCATGTGATTAGCAGTTGTTGAACCCAACGCACACACACACAGATGCGTGCCACAAACGCAAATTCGCATAAACCTGCACACACACACACAGACACAACTTAGATAATGGCACTCAGTATTAGATAACAGTCAACGCCGGAAGGCAGTCAATTTGTAGGACAAAAAACTGCACGCGCAGAGGAAACAACAACAACAGCAGCAAAAGTGAAATAAAAGTTTGCCAAATGAGATTAAAAGCGCCTGCGTGCGTTTGCAGATACAGAGATACGCACTGTGATACGCACTGCTAGAGGTATACACAGATACAATATGCTAAAAATAAATTATATAAATTTTGCAGCTTTTATTGAAGAGGTGCTCCTAAGGTCGTTTTTGCACACAAATATTTTGCTGTTTTTTGTTTATTTTGTTGAAATTAAAGTTTATTTTCCTTAATCTGCAGTGGCAGTGAAATTACTTAGTCGCAAGCACGCTATAAACTAAATTTAATTTGTTTATAGGTAGAGTGCATTCGGATTAAGATATCAGAGATACCGGAGATTCTTCTGAAGGTGTTGAAATATAATCAAAAAATAAAATATGGATCTAATTCGTGCCAATTAGCAGCCGGCTAATAGAAAAATGTTTTTCTGCCAATTTGCTCTTCAGGCGGCCATTTGTTTGTTGGTTTTTTGTGATTTTTTGAGATGGACTTATTTTATATGTACATAAGTCATTATTTAATTACTTTTTCCTGGCAGGCGGATGGTCCATTTAAAATTTAAATACACTTATTGCTCGGCTCGCTGCCAAATCCCCAAAAATTATTTCCATTTATTAAGAAGGAGAATGAAAAGTCAAGGAACTTGCACTATTTATGGTCTACTCAAACATTTTATCTAAAACGATATAGAAAATCGTATATGTAACCCCCAGTGAATATTAATTATTGTTTTAAGCCAAAACGACACTGAGAACTCAAAAGTCATTTGTTGAACAAATATTTAAAATATTTGGCAATATTTCTACAAATATTTCCAAACATTTTTCTACCAAAAAAAAAAAACTAAAATTATGTAACATTTATTTTTACGCACCTTTTTTATGTTTATCTCTTTTACTTTTTTTGTGAGTTTTACGATTCTGTATTTTTAACGCGTTGGTTTTTGGATGTTGGTTTTTCTTGCACTCTTTAAAGCACTTTAAACAATTTGCAAGAATTTATTTATTGCAGCAACAATTCAACATTTTCTTGCAATCTTTCAATTTTCTCATTTTCGAGACAGATCAGACACAACACTCGGATATTTTTCAATATTTTCTATTGCTTTTTACTCCAAAATTACACTTTTGTTTCCTTCGTCCGTTGCGGGGATTTCAGTGTTTGGCTTTTTCCCGGATAGCACACAATTTTCACAAAATGAGGAAAAACCGGAGAACGCGAACACGCCGCGATGGATGGTAGATCGATCGATGGATATTGGTGGCAAATATTCGAAAATTTTTAGCTGCGGATATTTTCGGGCGGACTTCGAGTGCTACTGCGACTGCGGAACCCTCCGCTTTTTGTATTTTTGTTGCCGCTTCGGCCGGCGCTAGTCAGAGACTGAATTGTATTTTCCAACCGTATTTATTCCACAGTGTTGCTGTTGCTGCTGCTGCCTTCGTATCTGATTCGGCTCCCCGACCGAACCATCGCATAGCGAACCGGAAAGAGACGCGAGAGAGAAAGGTAGAGCGAAAGAAAGAGGCCGGGAAGGGAGAGGACGCTACTAAGAGTAGCGTAGTGGGTGGATGATGGACGAAAAGAAAGACCAACGATTTCGATGGTTCGTTCGTACGATTGATAGCTCTTCCCTTTGGCATCCATCGGCGTCCGCCTTGATTTTAGGGCGAATCAGAATCAGGTACCAGAATATCTCACAGATTTATGTACATATGTATATGGGTATGTGTGTGAGAACGTGTTAAGATGGTAAATGATGGTTAGGGTTATTTTTTTTCTTGGGGAGTGTTTTTCATTGGTTTATGGGATTTTTAGAATTTATTTCCGCACAAGATCGCAATGATTTATTTGTCTGAATAATTTCTGAGAGATAACCTTTTCAAAATTTTATTAGTCCAAGAACCAATCGGAAATGATCCTTATTACTTTCTATTACTGCCTTATAGAACCTTTAAGGCATAAAACTGTCCAGCAACCATTCAGAAAGTTTCCTAACATTAATATAAGGCTGTTCCTAAGCCTCTAAATCAGAAACCATCCAGAATCCAACCCAAAAACCCACTTGGAGCCCCCATAGTAGAGCACCATCCCCTGTTTCCACGAAAATCTTTTAGTTCAGCCAATGGATCCCCCTGTCACGTGCCATTTCCCGCTGACAATATGAGTGTGAGGTGCGATTGCAGTCATCGCTAGTGTGCTAGGGGGTGTTGGGTTCGTCCGTCCGATTGCTTGACTTTGGGTCTGAATTGGGTTGTTTAGTGCCGCTGGCGTTTGTGCTTTTTGGCGCGTAGACCTCTCTCCAACCAGCTACGTATTTCGCCAGAGAACGTTGATTTGCACGTTGAATTTTCAGCTAACGAATAGCAAAGCACAGCCCAAAGTGCAGCCGCAAACAGAACCCAAAAAGCAGAAGCAAGACCTGCAATGCATTGTTTATGTGCTGCCGGGGAAATCGCTAATGAGTCAGGTTCCCCTTCTGGTCTAAAGCGGAGGGCAGAGCGTAATCGGAACAGTTTGATTGTGGTCCTGATAAGCAATCAGCCTTTGACCAGCTATCGATCTATTTTCTGCATCACCAAAAGTATTTTCGGCTAGCTATAAATGGGGTCAAAGTGTGCTCTAAGCCGTGTAGGAATCAGCTGCAGCTCAACTCTTTCGGTTTATGCACGAGGAATTCCGGCACTTTTAGTTTTTATATTTATCTTATCTGCATGGCCGAATGGCGCTTATAGACAAAGTCACATGGGCGCGAGACCCACTTTTTGGTGCAAAATATTATGTACATTGAACTTGACAATGTCCGTTGAGGGAGATGGCAAATACACTTCGGGCTTCGCGGGCTAGAACACGTCACGCCTCACGACTGCGTCAGCGGTAAGTAGGCAAGTCCACTATCTAGCGATAAGACAGAAGATAAACGATTTTGGGAACTCTGTTTGTTGGCATTCTACGGAAAATGGCAGGGATTTATCGGTGGTACTCAAGGGAAAGGTTTGACGGGGTTTCCTCGTGCAGTAGAACACTTTTTGGTAGCTGGAAGGGTTGCATGAAATATATTTTCAGCTGGAACAGGCATTATTGAAGTCTCTTCAGAACTACTGAAATATAAACCCCAGAAAGGCTTTCTCTTAAATAAATAAACTATGCTTCTGGATCCTATTAAGGCGCATTATCTCCTCTAGTATCCATGTCTAAGTACATCTGTCTCGAACCCCAATTCTAATATATTTCCTTTCCTTTCAATTGCAAACTTTAAATTTCATTTAGTTTACTTTACTGTTAAGTTTCCCTAAGTGTTTCCACAAAAGTGGGGACTAGGGGCCCCAAACAATTAACTCAATTAAGTTTGAACGACAACATTTGTGTGTCTCATCGGGAATTTCTCGCCTTCGCGACGTGCCGAGCGGCGCACATGCCAAATGTCCGTGTCCCATGTCCCATTTTCCATGCCCTTGGCCTTTCATTTTCCTGCCCTCCCTCGCAAGTGACCCTATAAATAACCTACGACACAGGCTGTGCGTGCGGCTCCCCCGCAGTTTTCGAGAGAGAGAGACTTTTGACTTTGTTGATCTTAGGCACAGCCATCCCCCGCCATACTCCGATTATCCTTCAGAATGCAGCCACCAGACAATTAAAATGATTAATTAAGGAGGAGCAGCGGCAGGACATTTTCGGGCTAATGACTTAATTAACCCCCGCCAGTTGAGTGTTCCAGCTTAATGTGGTCGCCTCAACACAAGCAAGAGGAGAGAGCCGAGAACAGAGGTCTACCCTTTGACCCTTTTTCCACGTAAACTGCAACTGTCGTTCCTCCTTTGGCCTTCCGCAAGATGTTAAATTAATTAAGTAAAAAACCGTAGCCGAAACGAAAAGAACCGAAAATGTGGCAAGTGATGTGGCACCCAGTGCGGCGAGGTGTTTGCTACAGCATTTAAATATGTGAAATAAATGAGGCAGCTGCCCTGCAGTCCCCCCCCGCAGTCCACTATCCTGACTCCCTGTTTTTTTTTTTACACCTTGCGTGTTTTGCGCGCGTTTCTCGGGCGTTTAAAAACGCGCCAGCTCCAGCTTCAGCGTTCCAGCGCTCCCAAGGTTGGCGGCTTTTTCTTGTCTACAGAAATGTATCTAGTAGATCGCTTATCTGCGCGTTTGCAATTGTTCCATTCGCGTCGCGTATTCAATTACAAAATACATTGTCATGTCGACTGTCAGCGGACATGATTTCCATTGGTTTTATATTGGTAGCAGAAACTGAATCTGATTTCTTTATTTTCGAAATGAATCTGCCCATCGGTTGATGATCAATACGAGTGGAGCAGCATTTGGGCATTGGTATGCCAACAGAAATGCATTAGGCAGCCATTAGGCTTCCATCAGAGTTACTTTCAGATAGGCAAAGTATCTGTTTCTGTATCTGTATCCGCAGCCGGAATAATTTATGTTAATAAAATTGGAATAGTTGGCTGTCAGCGAATGGCGACGAACATGCAGCCAGCCGTCAGACAGCTCAACTCAACTCAACTCAATTCAAATCGAATCATTTCGAATCAATTAAAAACCAATCTGGAGCCGATCTGCTGGCCTGTCTTTTGTCTTTAGCCAAGTGACCAGCAACAAGTTGTTGTCTCTTTATGCACAAAAACAAGTTAACCCTTTACGCGGGAGTGCAAATAAAACATGGAAACATTTGTAATATTCTAAAGGATATAAATTATTTATTTTTTATATCATACGACTATATACCATTCAAGATCCCATTCATTAAATCCATCCATAAATTCCTTTAACTTTTTAAAAGATTTAAGTTATTTATTACATCAATAATTCTATTTAAATAATAGTTGCATGAAATGATAATACAAATATCAAGTAGATATATATCCCAAGGGGTTAAGCCACATGCAAATAATGATCAAAGTGAAATGCTGTTGTCGCCACCAGGTCGCTTGGTACTCCGATCGGATTAGATTGAACCTAAGATCAGTAGTGAATATTCGTATCTGTATCTGTATCTGCATCTATATCTCTGTCTCTATCTATATAGGTAATGAGAAAACCGCCAGCTGAGTGATCGATTATGCTGGAAGTAGTAAGTAGTGGCAGTGGCAGTGGCAATCCGCTCTAATCACAATAATTGATACGTAAATATTTTGATATAGATTGCAATGCTAATTATGTGAGCAATAAATTACGTGTGTGTGTAGCCGAGTGGGCCTTGAGCTGTACACATCCCCCCACCCACCCCACTCGGCTGTGTTCTATCGTAACTCAGATATAAATCAAAATTCTAGCATTCCAATATGTGTCTTTATTCGAAATTAAACTAGCAAAATTTTGTTTAACAAATAAACAAAAATGTTTTTATGCCCTCTGATATTTTTGCTGCCATTTATCTTGACGCTTTTGGCTTTGTTTTGGAATCAAATTTGCCTGCCACTGTACGATTATGCTGCTGACTGGGTGAGGGGGGGAGAGGAGATCAGGAGATGAAAAGACAGATGATTGCAAGGGGACGTAGACGAGATCAACGCAGGCCTGTATATACTTGGCACACGTAACAACAACTACTTAAAGGGGAGGATTTTGTTTGGGGGTAAACAAATTTCCAAACTTTAACTCCCTGGGCATGTTCAAAATTTCATAGTTTTACCATTAAAAAAAAAAAAACACCAATCCTGCCATAAAATGCCCACGCTGGAAATGGCTTTGGTTGTGGAGAACATCTACCATGGAATTCGGAGATGTTTTGGTCCGGAAAAGTACGACATATCCTCCCCAAAGATATTTCATACTAATATTCCACTTCTTCGCACAGTGATTACCCCATAAAACGCCACAGACCCTCGAAGATGTATCGCCAGTGTCGCTACAAGCAACTTCGATCGAAGATGCATCAATGTGGTAGCTTTCGTGTTGGTGGCGGTGCCGACTGGTGTGCCAATCAGCGACGCTTCCGTGGCTATCACTCCGAAACCAACTCCAAGTGCAGCACCTCCGAACGTTCGCTCTCTGAATTTGAGGCCTCCACGGACTACATTCTGCAGCAACAGCAGTCGGAGCAGGAGCCTTGTGCCCGAACGCTTTGCAGCATGCAGCCAGTGGACTCCCGCTACCAGCTTCATTATTCGGTGTCTGGTTTGGCTGCTGCGCTCGACCATGGCCACTGCCAGCGGAAGATATGGAAACTGCAGCGACGCAGCCTCATGGAGAATGCATGGGAGGTGATTGGCATTCAATGCGCCTGCTGGTGGAGCAGATACTCGCCCAATCTGGGGGCACTGTGCATTGAATCCAGTCTGGATTTTCTCTCTCGCCAGCTTACCCCTGAGCAGAGACAAGCGAATGAACCAGAGCCAGATATTGTTCATTATATACGTGAATTTGTGAATCTCTGCCGAAAGGTAAGGCCAATGATGAAGTTATGGAATATAGCCTTAACCCTTCCTCCTGTTAGATCTACCAAGCCGCAGATTCTGTCATCTCTGATGCTTTGTGCTTCAAAAGCTCACCCACCTTGGATGTGCTGAATATCAACGAATTAATCCCCGATTTGAACAGTGCCCTCATTCAGTATTTGCTCCGACTTGAGGAGCTACCAGAAATCAATAGTTTTTAGTACTTTATGCAGCTTCACTCCGCCAATAAACCACACACGAAAAAACCCCATCAAAACCAACACCAAAAGTGGTTCCACTTTGATTCGAATTTACAGCCCACTTCACGCCCCTCCCAGGGCAGTTGGGGCAATGATCGTAAAGAAAAGTGGGACTGATGGATGGAATCACCAGCGAAGAACCCGTTGGCAGGTGCTTCAAGCTGTTTGTTGGTTAGTTAGTTGCTGCTTTCCACCACCATCACCACCATCACCACCACCAACAACCAGACACCACAGACACCACAGATTCAGATTCATGAGTCAATTCTTGGATGTTATGGCGCCTCCTTTTACCCCATTTCAAATGTCATCATCATCTTCCACTAAAGAATTATGAGTGCGGCACATGCAATGATTGGATCTGAATTTGAATCTGTATCTGGTTTTGCATTCCTTTGGCGCTGCTGGTGCTGGTGCTGGTGCGGGTGACGTTGACAGCTAAATGAATCGAATCTCATTTGGTTTGCCAAAATATTTATGCATCTCGCATTGACTTTGGTTTCGTTTCGTGGACCACGCCCCGAAATTTGCAAGCTTTATTTATGAGAGGGCCGCCAATGAATCAAAAGAAATCTGTCAAACAAGTTTATGACACTTTTCTGACGCCCTCTGTCTCAACCACTGTCTGTCTCTGTCTCTGTGTCTGTCTCTGTCTGTCTGCCTGTCTGTTGGCGGAGCCGTTGACATTTTAATTTGGCAGCCATCGATGGCAATTTAATAAATTTGCTGCCTGATTTTAGTTGGGTTTTGGAGCACTGTCGTTGTGTTGAGCAATTAATGGCGGTGAGGCTGCCCCAAAAGCGAAGGGCACCTTGAAAAGTACAGAACCCTGAACTAGGCAATGAAAATGGGAAAGTCAAGGCAAATGTTAGGGATGTAGGAGACAAATTTAGGGGATTATTTTGGCTTCTAAGGCTATTACTGTGAAGTGCATGAAGAAATGCTATTTCTGACTCTAATATTAATTCAATCGCAATGAAACTTTACATGTTTAAAGTTAATAAGTAGTTGCCCGTGTCTACCAAATTTCAACCTTCTATCTTCAAAACGATGCACTCCACACCATTTTTATCTGTGCCCCAAAGCGCATCTCTGCCTAAACAGCTTCAATCTATTTACCTTTTGAATGCACAAACTTTCCCATCTTATCTAACGAAATTCAAATTTCCAAAAGCTTCTTGTCTTTTGGGGTAGACATTCTTCCACACTCTCCGGTGGGGCTGGCTGGCTGCGCTGGGCTGGGCTCCCACAATCACTCATTGTGTCCCATGCTCCATGGCGAGCGATTCAGTCAATAGATCGCCTTTCATCCCACAATCTACTACTCGTAAATGTGAGCAATTTTTATTGTTCTTGGACTGCCAACGAAATCGATATCAATATCTGGGCTATTAACAAAATCAGTGGAACGGCCATCGGCCATCGGTCCATCCATCCATCCAGCCAGCCAGCCAGCCAGCCATCGGTCTCTGTTCTACGTAAATTTATGGAACTTGCTGGCAATAACAATTAATAAAAATTGTAGGAAAAAGCATTCCGTATGGAGGTTAAGGTCCATATCTCGGGTTACCACTTCAAATAGATATCAGAACTTAATCAAAGACGATCGAATCGAGAGACACACAAAAGAGCATTGAGGGTGGGCAACTGATGTGTTTCCTTCTTCTGGTTTTTCTTCTGGGTTCCATTCTTTGGGGCCAGTCACTAGCGCCAGTCATAAAGTTGGGCAAAAAAAAAACAACAAGAACCGGCCTTAGAGGCGACACCGTTAAGGAGCACAAAGTTCTGGAGTCTAGACTGGTTAATCCTTTGTAGATCTTGTCCATGCGATAAACTTGGCTATCTGTCTGATTAGTGTGGCCTAATGTGACAGCCAAACGACGTTCCAGCGTTCCAGCGTTGCACAGTTCCAGTTCCAGTTGCAGAGAGTGTTTTTTTTTTCCTTCCATTCCCACCTTAACTGTAGTTTGAGTGATGTAATTGGAGCGGCTTCTATTTGTGGATGGGCCCCTGCCTGATGATGGTGATGATGATGATGACCCAGGGGCAAGGCATAAATCAACATGTTAGAGCGGCCGACACCAAGAGAACCCAACCAAGAGAAACCGGTCGCTCCTTCTCCCTCTCCCTCTCGCTCTCTCTCCATCTCTCTCTGTGGCCATCCTTAGGTAAGAAGTTGGCACCCTTTTCTGTGCTCTTGAAGGTGATGCATCTGAGATGCAAGAGTTCCTTCTATATTCCCGCATGTGCCATTGAGATTTATTGTATTTATGTGTGTGACAGGGCAGCGCCTTGCGTGTGTGTGGTCCCTGCTCCTCTTTTTTTTATTATTACTTTTTATTTTGTATTTGTTTAATTGCAACTCAATGAACTTCGAGTGAACTTCGCTCAACAGGTGGGCCCCCCAAAAACCTTTCTCTCAACTGATTGACATTGAACTTTTTTTAAATGATATCATCTACACCCAGCGACCGATTTCCAATGAAATCAATAATCTGATTTCCAGTTCTCTTCAGCCTTTTTGAATGTCAGCCTCCGCCTCGTATATCAATTTCATGTGTACCGTTAAATGATGCGGCAAACCCAAAAAGAATTTTGAACCCAAAAATGCCCCCCAAACCCAAGCCCAGGCCCAAAAATACCTCTGGCACTCTTGAAACATTACCTAATCGCAGGGCCTAAAGACCATTTCCAGTTCCAGAAAAAAAACCGCTTTAAATGCCAAACTAATTAACTGGTAAAGAAAAAAAACAAAATCAAAAAGGGAACCACCGAAAGAACGCCCTCCAGGGCTGGCTGTGGCTGGCGCTAAGCTTCCAAGTATATTTTTTTATATTTTCGGAAACCCTAATTGAAACAACTTTATTACCAACCAAAAATATTGAATATATAAGGCAGGATTCTCTGTTTGCCTGGAGGATATTTACAAGAAGGAGAAGGCGTCAACATACACAATTTTTATGTGTGCAAACGGATCTTTGGTGGAACTGAAAGAATCGATTGCAGTGGCGCCTCTGCCTTTGCCTCTGCCTCAGCCTGAGTGCCGGTTACTTCTTTTACAACTTTCGCAGGAAATGGAAGGGAAACACAATGCTGCAGTTTAAAATTGAAACAAATAATTTACGAGCTCATAACGAAACCATGAAGAAGGAAGCTGCAGCCGCAGATCAAGTCGCAGGCAAAGGCGACTCTCAGACGACCTGCGAGATTGGAGAGTTCATGGAGTAAGCCTCCTCCTACAACAAAAAAAGTGTCAACTATCAGTGGTATACACCTGAGAGACACAGCGAGAGATAGAGAGAGAGAGAGAGGGGTAGCGGTGGTATAAGGTTTCGCCGATCAAATGAAATTGATATGTATTTATTTTCCAAGAGAATCCAATCCAATCCAATCCAAGAGAATTCCGTTTCCCAAAGAACAAACAACATTTCTGTTGAATTTTCTATGGTGCAACAGGTTTTTGTTTTTTCTTTCGTTAGATCATTTTATTGTCGTTTGTTTGCCCATAAAATATTTCGACATTTTTATTGTTGATTTCTAGTTGCATTTTTGTCATATTTCTTATTCCGATTTCCCCTACCCACCCCAAAATGACTCATTTGGAAGAACTTTGGACTCTTGACGCGCATTTTGGTATGAAATATTTTTTTCGTTTGCGTATTTCCCCCGGGTACGCGTCATTGGCAAACATTTTGGTCATGCACCATAAAAAATTACCAAAAATACAATAGTTTTGTGCCAAAAATATCTGAGGTTTTGGGGAGCTGGAAAATACGTCAAAGGCGAAAAACCGCAACAATTGACGTTGCCAGGATTTTTAATTGGAAATCATTTCTGGTAATATGTTCTTTCTGCGGTTCTGTGTGAATTTGGGCACGTAGACCCATTTTCTGAGAACGATATATAATATGCAGGTTTGTATTGCGAAATACATAGGCTCTAGTTGGGGGTTTTTGTTTATATACATATGTATATTTTATATATGTTTCACGACTTACCTTACCCATATATGTTTAATGTATTTCTCATTGCGCTATTTCTTTGATTATTTTTATTTTTTCATTTTAACGGCATCCGAATAATATACAACAAAATTTCCCTTTATCACTCACTAAATTTCAAATTACGCGCTCAATTTTCCCTCCGGCTAGATGCAGCACTGAGTCATTTTCCGCCGTTTGGCAACACTGATGTTTACTACGTAGCCAAACCGAACGCGCTTACGTTTCACGTTTTCTATTTGTCATTCGTTTACCGTTTCTTTTTTTTTACCACGATCCCGGACTAAAATGGCTAATTTAGTGGCCCGATTATCGGTTAAAACAGGCGCACTAATCACACAACGCAGCAATGTGGGCGTGGCCGTGTGCAGATATGCCAAATACTCGAGTGGACCGGTGAATACAGGTGGATTTAGCAAAAGAACGCGTCGCCTGCTGTCGCTGCTGGGCGGCAGTGCCATTTCCGTGGCGGCAGTAATTGCAATTATAAAACTCCGTGCCCTGGAGAATACCGTGAATGCAGTGAGCCTCAAGAAGCGCATGGTAAATATGTGCATAAAAAGCGACCAAAATAATAAAAAAAAAAGTGTTGTGCCTGGTGTGAAAAAGTCAATAATTTTGGGACGTAAAAAGACTCGCGCAGCTATTTTTAGATTGTGGTATTGCATTACGTTTCGCTACTGTGTTGCTCGTTACGTTACGCCATCAGCTGTTTTCAGTTGTTTTGTTTTGCTCGCGACATTCGCTGCACTAATGTCGATTTTTACGAGTTCATTTACGTTTTAATTAGCTAATCAATGATTTAATTAGCTCTTTATTGTCATGTTACCTACGATCTATGGATTCCGTGGGTATGTGTGTGCAGTGTCCCACGTAAAAAGAAGCAGATATTTGGTTCAGGGTCGTTATCACTCCCCCCCATTGAATGTTGTAATTTTTGTTGTCTGTTTTTGGTATTCATGTAGGTGCGTGTCCAAGTTCAATGAAACAACAAAAATCAACAATAGCTAGAGAGGCAATGTAGCTGTTTGGTCGCCGCACCTTTTAATACCCTAAGAGGTTCGCAGCTATATGATTTAGTCAACGAATTTTAATGAAATTTGGTATAACTATAGAAAAACCCCTACAACTGCTGCCTGTAAAGTTTCACTGGAATATGTTTTACCATAAACAAAGAAGTTCCACGGTACTGCTGCTCCATAGTAACCCTCGGCCAAAGGGTGTCCAAAAATACCCATTAAAGCCGCAGCACTATCTACCCGTCATTTGTCAACCTGTTGACATTGTCTCTGGGTGGAGAGACAGAGACCGACCCCACCAGACAGACGCTGATGTGCAGTGCGTGCCGCCCTATAGAGGGTGTCTGATGATAAGACCCCCCCCTGTCTGCATACGAGTATTTCCACGATTTGTGGTGTGAAATGTTAATATTTACATTGGTAGGGGGTGGGGGCAGGGCTTTGAGCAATTGCTTATCAGAGCATAGCTTTGGAAGTAGGTGAGAGATAGGATTATATTGCCAAGTACTTTTTATGGGGTGTAAGGGAAGGGGCATTAGGCATTAGTCATGCTAATGGGGTAGGGGAAGCCCTCTACTGATATTGTTGGCTTCCTGAGGAAATACCATTGATAATTCCACCTGAACAGATAGCAAACCGCCCGTGGAAATTTAGTTTTCATGAGAGAGAAGTTTGAGAAAAGATCTCAATAGATTTTCCCCAGCCATACCAACATTTCCGCTTAATAAATCCTTGATTTGTTCACTCCTAAATCCGCTATTAAAACCCATCTCTCTGCGATTCGTTAATATCTCAAGATCAAATACTCATAATGCCACATTGTAAGTGCCACAAATTCGTATGAAATCATGCGCCACACACCTTGAAAAATGCATTACCAGTGTGTGCCACAGCAGCGGCAGGGAGATATATGATATGATATGATGAAGTGGCAAAGTAGTTATGATACGATATGAAACGCCCACACACCTGCAGGCGGCTATCCAATGTTCTCACTCTCCTGAATGCTGACAGAATGCCAGTTACTGATAAATTTATCTATCAATCGATCTGGTTACTGGATTTGATACACCCACAAAATACGAGCATGTCCGTCCCCCGTCCGCGCGTCCCAATGCCAGACGCAGGCGTGGCCTGAGCTTCAATCCGGAGTTTTGGATTTTGGTTTTGGTTTGTGGTTTGTCCCTGACATGTGTGTTATGACAACTGCGCCGACGACTGCGCCTGATGATGATGAATGAGTTTTAATTGTTGCCTATAAAGCCAGCGCCTGCAGCCATATCAAATCCCTCCTTGTACTCTGAGCTCCCCAAGTCCACCAGCACAGTGGTGCCTAAGCCATGGAAAACTGATGAAGAGGCTGGAAAAGAAATAAGCAAATACTAGAGGAACTTTTTAAGGATAAAAATGGGTTAAAAATGCTTAAGATTCAGCACAAGATATTCCTTTGAAACATGCTCTACATTTGTATAATTTGTTTAGCCAAATTCTACGAAAGGAATTGCCTTTAAGTGTCGCAATCTGTGTCCTATATCCCATAGTTTTTACTGAATTTCTAAGGCTGAAATTTATATATTTCAAACCCTTTCTGAACTACTGTTCCTTCCGAGTACTACAGCCTGCAGAATGATGTCAGCTTTTGGCTTTATGAAGAATTGTAGCTGTGGTGGCTCTCGGTGTTTTGGTCTTTTGGTTTTTTCGATCTTGACGCGTAGGCGTGTCCGCCGCGAAGTGTTTTCTGCTGCTGCATTGCACATGTCTAACATTCAAATTGGCCTTTGTTCGGGCATCGGAGATTCGGATTGAATTGAATGAGTGTCTGTGGCAGGGTACTCCTGGGAGGAGTAGGAGAACGAGGAGGAGGAGTAGAGTTATGGCCTGGGAGTTGTCTTTGCACCACAAATAAAATACAATTGAGTCATTCCTGTGGGCCCCCCTACGAGACAGGGTCTAGATTACATTTTTTTGATTTTGTGGGTGGCATTAAATGTCAGATTTATTGGGATGAGAATGGAGGAGGGATGATACCCTCTCTCACGCCACAGCCAAAAAATGTTCTCAAAATCAATTTGACACTTTATTTGCCAAAGGCGCAAGGCAAAAACATCACAACGTGGGAATCCTGTCCGCGTCGATCGTCAAAATTCGAATTAAATGCAAAGATCTACATGTACGATCCGAAAACCGGATCAAATTAATATTTCTGAGAGCAGTTGGATGCCGGTGCCCACTGGGCAGGCATTAATCAAAACGTCACCAGATTGGAGACCTCCGCCAGACCCCAGACCTCGCAGCAGATTGCAATACCCCAGCGAATGCTTTTGTTGTCGCGGCTGCTGCCTTTGTGACCAAGCGGCGGAAATATCGGTGTTCGTGGCGCGATCCAATCATTCCATTGATTTATTTCAATTATTCGAGAGTATAACAACGGCCAGAAGACCAGGCATATTAAGTTACCTTTATCATCCTTTCGATTTGGCTCTGATTCAATATTCAATTCAATTCAATCCAATCCATTCCATCCATTCCTTTGCAGCGCGATGATACCGAGCTGGAAAATGTGAAGCTTACGGCACGGGAGCGTCGCTTCATCAAATTTGCCTCCGTGGAGTTCGATGATCAGCTGTACATGACGCCCCAGGACTTTCTAGAATCTGTGGTAGAACAGGAGCCCAGACGTAAGTGCTATTTTTAGTTTTTTATTTTCTTACTAAATATTCCCTATTTTTATAGCACGTCTGAAGCGCCGGCAGCTATCCAGCGATGAGGTGGACAAATACAAGGAAAACACACCCGCATTGAAGAAGGGCTCCACGCGATTGTTTCGTAATTTGAGAGATAAGGGTAAGGGACATCAGTACAAGTCTTGAATCTCCTTTAATGAAAGCCTTAAATAACTACAAATTAAATGCTCCCATGGAATATATCAACAATTTTATGCTCCGAAACTCATAGTTTATATTTTATTCTTTTACCTAACTTTTCTCTTAAATTCCAGGCATTGTCTCCTACACGGAATACCTGTTCTTGCTCTCCATTTTGACAAGTAAGTCGATAGATGATTACTCCTTCCAAATATACCCTTTAATATATGTAAATTTTTCCCGAACTTCTGCAGAGCCCAAATCTGGTTTTCGCATTGCCTTCAATATGTTCGACACGGATGGCAATCAGCGCGTGGACAAAGACGAATTTCTAGTGGTAAATAGTGGTGCTAATGCTAGCCCCACATTTATGGGTTCTTCCTATTGCTTTTTGTATAATTTACTTATAATTTATATGTATTGCTTTTATTCATTAGATAGTTTCCATTTTGGCTGGCGCCTTTAAAGAGAATCAAAATGTTGATCCCCAAACCAAGCGAATTGTAAGCATTGTTTTCGGTTGTCCCAATTTAATTTAAGTCTATCATTTAAATATTTCAAATATTTATGATAAATGAAAATTCGTTTAAGCCAGCCCTAGGGCAATGGAAGTAAGCTGCACCCCCTAGACACATAACCTCAAATTAAGATATGATTTATTTGTTTTATTTTATTTGTCAAACCCTCACGTATCTCCCTCCCCCCTCCCAATTCGTATATCAGCTTTCGCGTTTAGTGTCCTATGATGAGAAAAGAGAAATGCAGAATAGCCGTATGCCCATGGCGAAGAAGGGTCTTGTAAGTGGGAGAATAAATTCGTATACTAATTTTGTTGGCTTCGCTGCAAGAGCAAAAATATGGCTCAAAAAATATGCCACTAAGTCGCATAAGTCCTACCGTATGCGTTGTATGTAGAAGCTTACGTTGTCTTATGTTACGTTACGTTTTGCTTACGTTATTACGTTGTTACCTTACGTTACGTTATAGATCATATTTCTATATGTATATTGGCTTTTGCTTTAAGTTACTTTTGTTCTTCTGCCACCAAAATTCCCACCAAAAACCATAACCATAATCCTCACTAAAATCCCCTAACTTTTCTTCTCTCTAAAACCCCCAAAAACAAAACAAAAACCCCCCCAACACAAATCCCCACTATATCCGCCGGCATGTACATATACCCAGATGGAGCGCATTTTCAGCGGCGCTTGGAAGGAGAAGCACGGCGAGCAAGAGTCCCAGGAGCTCGAGCATGAAGTGCCACCCATTGAGGTAAACCCGAAGCATGAGATCCCCAGAGTGTGACTAACAAGCATCTAACTTATCCACTAGTTTTGCTAATCCTACTATCCTTAATCATTACCAGAAGGACTATGTGAACGATGGCGAGGGACTGCAACGTCGTCATGTGGTGTCCACCACATTGCAGCTGCATTTCTTTGGCAAACGCGGCACGGGAGTCATCAACTATGACAATTTCTATCGCTTTATGGACAATCTGCAGACAGAGGTGCTGGAGCTGGAGTTCCATGAGTTCTCCAAGGGCAACAGCATCATCAGTGAGCTGGACTTTGCCAAGATTCTGTTGAGATACACTTACTTGGCCACCGATGAGTACGATGTATTCCTGGAGCGACTGCTAGAGCGTGTGAAGGATGAAAAGGGCATAACCTTTCATGATTTCCGTGACTTTTGTCATTTTCTGAACAATTTGGATGATTTTACAATTGCCATGCGGATGTATACACTGGCAGATAGGGCCATATCAAAGGGTGGGAGAAATTGTCCGTTCCTCGCTACAGAAACTCATTTTATTCTTGCTGCTTACAGAGGAATTCTCACGGGCTGTGAAGATCTGCACGGGCTATAGCCTCAGTCAGCATTTGATTGACACTGTCTTTGCCATATTCGATGCCGATGGCGATGGTCTGTTGTCCTACAAGGAGTTCATTGCCATCATGAAGGATCGCCTGCATCGCGGCTTCAAAGTAAGTGGTCGTTTCTTTGATTACAACGAGGCTCTGGATGCCTATGACGAGCCCGATTATCCCATATTTGTGGCCTGGCGACATCGCGTCTGCCGGCATTTGGACTACTTCATTGACAGCGATGCGCTTTGGCACTGAATTAAACTAATTAAATCCACTCGTTTAGTTCTTTGCATTATCGTTTTATAATCGAATGTCCTGCCTCTCGCTCCAATCTCACTGTTACTCATTTTTGTGTGTGCTTTCGTTTTGCCTGTAAGCGTTTTCTTAGCTCTAAGCTCAATGTTTTCCTTAGTTAATTTATAATTTCTCTTAACAGAAGCGCATTTTATTTTATTTTTAATATTAATTTTACTTTCAAATTGGCCATGAAATCATTAAACTCTGATTTGCACAAGAAATTTGATTTTTATTGGTTTGTGTCCTGAAGAAAACATTCTGAAAATGTCAGGAACATTGTTTACATTGTTAATTTGTTATAGTTTAATATATGTTTTAACCTTTTTGCATTAAAACCTCCCCCATTTCCATTTAATGGCACTTTTGTTCAGGTTTTTAGCTGCCTATATTTTCTTTTCCTTAGCAAGAGGATGCTCCAGATTTGGACGAACGTATAGAGGTACCCCTTGAATCGCTCGAGCCCCAAGGTGCAGAGGTCAGTGGGTGCCGCCGAACCCACAGTATTTTTATGCTTTCACTTTGCTTTTTTCTGCTCCTCCAATCACTTGTGTGTCTACCCAAATTTTCATCTTTCTTTTCTGAGCTACCTCCTGGTCTTTAACTAATTGCCAAAATAACCCTTCCTTACAGTCTGTGGCCAAGTCCGAGGGCTGGGATGCCTTCAGGTTTTGTGTGCGCCAGGAGATGAAGACCCTCATGAAGTCCTCCAACTAAGGGAACGGATGGATCGGGAGGAATCTATGAAAAACTACGCCAAAGCCAAACAAAACAAAATTCTAGTTACCACAATTTTTCTTCTAAAGAATCAAAATCTCTTGTATAGAAATTATTTTAAAAAATATTGTTAATGCATCGAATTATTTATGAAATTTGTTCAATATGGGAAAACTCTCAGCCGCTTATAGCCAAACAAAAAATGCATAGAAAATATTGTTGAAACCCCTTTTGTTACATAGCATAATTAATAAATTGTTTTTTCAAGTTTTTATTACATTTTTATTTAGTTTTTCATTTTTGATTAAGATTTAAAGACTTGCTAGAAAATGCATTCAGATAAAATTCGCACAATGAGGACCTCTTTCCCCTCTCTTTTTTTCTTTTCTTCACTCAAAAACTAATACTAAGTGATTTTTAGAATTAAATATTCCGCTTGTCAGTGGATGGGAGGGGAGTGGGGGATTCCGCTCCCTGCCTGGAAGTACAGCAGGGGGTGGGGGTGGGGGCGCTTAACTAATGCATAAATATAGTATCTAAGTATATCTAATATAAAACTCCAACTCGTATTTGTCTAGATCATTTCTTTGCACTCGGGCATTATTACATCATTACATAGAATATCAAAAACAGAAAAATAAAAATTATCACAGTTAAATTGCGTGCATTCGACAGACGACGGATACACCACACACTATACATCTATATCATTATCATTATCGTTATCCTCTCTATTAACATTATCCATCGCTGCTGGTATACAAAATATATAGTTTCACATTCGTACATTATCTTTTTGCTACTGAATTATAGGGAATTGGTTTTGGAATAGTTTTCTCTGCATATACACAAATTGCACAACATATTACTAAAAATATAATATAATAATTAATTAATCAATAAATGATTGCATCTAAATGATAAATAAATGATTTATCTGTGTGTCCTAGTCCTGCGTTGTGGGCGGCAAAGTCCAGCTCACGTACTTCTCCTTCTCCTGCGTGTCCTTGTAGGTGCTGCGATTGGCCGCCGCCTTTGAACGACGGAACTTGAAATTGGCAAATACATCCCGCTTGGGATCACCATCCATCGCCAGGGACTGGTGGTGGCTGGCATCCAGCTCTAGGTTCCGCTGCAGTCCCACTCCCGCGATGGGCAGCTCATCGCTGGCCTTGCGGAAGTTATACGCACCCTTACGCAGCTTCAATTGCTGCTGCAGCTGCAGCTGTTGACTGGCCATGGATGGCGGCGTCTTCTTGGGGCTGCCCATCTTCGGCAGTGGCTTGGGATCCCGCATCAGCAGGGGAAACAGCGCATCGTCGGCATCAAAGTACCATGGACGCGAAAAGTGATAGCCAGCACTGTAGTACGGCTTGAAGATGGGCTCATTCGAGCAAATACTGAAGGCGTGATAGGCGTGCGAGATGAGCTGCGGGAAGCGATCCACCCAGTAGTTGGTGAACTCGTGCGGTATGCAACCGAGCATCTCCTGGGCCGCTGGCGTCAGCTCATGATAATGATGCTTCTTGTTGCGCAGCGCCCTCAACAGATCTCGCACACTGGCGCCCATATAGCCGCGATATTTGCGCAGATCGTCTGTGATCATGGGATCCAAATGCTCATTCCAATCATCCAGGACCACAATGCGTCCATTCTTCTCCAGCGATTTGAGAGGCTCTGCATGGAACTGCAGTTTCTCCACACGATCGCTCACGTCCTGCAGGAAGGAGAGCATTTTGGGCTCATCCCAAAACAAAGGATGATTGCCAATACAGCGTGCGGGTGGACGCGATTGGGCATCCTTGTGTATCATGTCGGAAATTAGCTGCTCAGCAAGAACCTACAAGAAACGAGATGCAGATTAATCAAGAGAATGCTTCAGGGCAGGCATTCCCACTGCTTACGGTCTTGCTATTGTCGCTGTCATCATCGGAGCGCAGCTTCGACAGATTGTACTCATGGGAGAGTATGTTGGCCTGACGCTTCAGATTGTCCCCAAAGGCATGATGGCCGCCACTCAGCACATAATAGTAGACGCAGCCCAGCGAGAAGATATCCACAGCGGTGGTCTGTATAAAAAGAACACATTAAAAGAGATTCCAAAGAAAAATCTGTATCCGGACGTACCGTTCTTTGGGCCCTCATCATTTCGGGCGCTATCCAACCATCTGTACCCGTAACGCCCGAACGGCGGGAGAAGCTTGTCTTGCCGAAATTCAACTTTTTGCACAGACCAAAATCAGAGATCATCACTCGCACCTTGCCCTTGGCATCGGGCAGCGAGATCAGAACATTCTGTGGCTTGATATCGCGATGGACAATGTCCAGGGAGTGCAGATGACTCAGTCCGGAGGCTGCCTGGCCCAGCACCTGCCACACATCAATGTGATGCTGCAGCTCCAGCGAACGATCGCCTTCGGTGTAGTCCTGCAGCGTGGCGGCACACAACTCCACGGCTATGTAGCGGAACTGACGATCCTGTTCGGTGCAGAAATAGCGCACAACATTCTCATGGGCATCCGATTCGCGGAGCAGCGCCACCTCGCGATCCGCAAAGGTAAAGCATTCGGGCAGGAGTCGCTTGACGGCCACAGACCTCTCCTCGAAGGAGCCCTTGAAGACGAAGGTGCCCTCGCAGCCCTTGCCCAGCACTTCGTTCGAATTGAAGCTGATCTTGCCGACACGCACCTGGCCGTTGCCCAGATCCACCAGATCCTCGGCACTGATGTTGCTGCCGTTGCTCCCCTTGCTGCCGCTGCCGTTTGTACCATCCGCAGTCAGGGCCAGCGTTTTGGATCCATTCTCGCTCTGCTTCTGCAGCTCCCGCATGGTGCTGCACGTGTACCAGAACAGGGCAATCATCCCGAGAACAATGACAATCAGTATTTGGTGCACCTTTCCGCTTGGATGCTCCATGAACCACTCATTGATGAATGCCTGCACCTTGTTGCTGTTCTGCAGGATGATGGTCTTGGTACGATTGATTGTATTGCTGTTTGTACGCTGATTAATGCCCATCTCCACGAGTTCCGGATCCGTTTGCACGCCAATGTCGGCGGCATTCTTCTCATTGTTGGCCAACAGGCCATAGCCATCGTTGTAGTTGTCGATGGTCGCCAGACTCTGGACATCTTTGACACCCGCTGGCGTGGGGGATAGCTGCAGATTGGCTTGCCCTTCATTGGGCATATTGTAGTGGCCCAGCATGATGCCCGCATGCTCGTGCAGCACATCATTGATGTAAACGGTCTTGGGATCCGTTTCCTTGTTTGTGTTCTGCTCGCCAACGGGTCCGTCGAGCAGTTTTACGGGTGGTGTGGTGGAAATCCTTGCCGTATTCTTATCCACCAGCGAGGGAATGGCATACAAGCCACTCTGGTGCTCGCCCACATACAGCGATTGACTGAAAGAATGCCAAACATTTAGTACAGCTACAACAGAAAGGGGGCGGTGGTGGATTTCCTTTTGCTTACAATAGTTTCACAGTGTTTACATTCCCTGTTTTAGATTCCTCGAGTATCGCCTGATAGGCCTCATCCGAGAGGGTGGTAAAAGGCACACTTAGCAGGCCATCAGGTCCCAGCAGAAAGGCAGCCACCACGGGACTGCTCAGATCTCGCTGCCACAAGAATTTTCCCTGTTTGCGATCTAGGGTTACGATCTGTCCATTTGTGGTGGTCGTCAGGTGGATGTACTCTGCGGAAAGAACATATTTATTAGCTATGGATGTGCACTTGAGAATTCCTATGCTCCACTCACCATACTCCTTGACCAGCTCTGGCGGTGCACTCAACGCATTGTAGTCATAAAATGTGATATTCCATGGCTTGGCATTCTTATCCTTGGCCAAACTGTCGAACATCATCACTGTGTACTGTGTCCTGCCCAAATAAATGGCCCGCGAGGTGGCCCAGCCAATCTGTTCCCCCTCCTTGCCATCCATTGTGGCATCCCCAAAGCCCATGACCTTCTCGCGTCTTCCTGTCTTGGGATCCACCATGTACCAGGTGTCGCTCTTCTTGCCGGAGTACAGTATGCCATCCGAGGAGCGACACGGCGCATTGGCCACCAGTTGGGGTATGGTGTAGGGCAGCTTCTTGAGGCTGCCCATCTGGCCCAGCTGATAGATGCTGCCATCCCGTGGATCGGGCAGAAAGTGTGGCATTTGGAGATTCTCCTGCGGCTCGGAAACGATGGGGGGATCTGAAATGGAGGAGCGAAATGAAATATTTATTATTATCAATGATTTCCAATTTAAATATTGATTAATCGTTTCAGGTTTTCAAATTGACTACGGATGAATCGATGAAGACAGCAGTTCGATTAAGGTATTTAAAACAAGCAGTACAAGTAGTAGAAAATGAAAATCAGTAGTCGCTACGGAAACTATTAATAAATTCTCATTTAAAATACTTGAAGATAGCGCGTATCTTAGTTTGATTCGACCAAAAAGGGGAATCACAATCAACATAGCATCTTTCATAATTTTTTCTATGAATAAAAGTATTTATAATGGAAAAGCTAAAAAGTTAAACCTTTTTTATTGTCGTACCCTCACATCGAAATCGTTTTCATGTCACTTATCAGTCGCTAGGGCTGGGGGTCTATTGAGTTGTAATAAAATCTGTCTAAAATCGATTCCATTCCAGATAACCCTTATCTTATTTATTCTATAAACTTTAAACACGCGAATGAGGCTACATAAACAAGTAAACGTCTGTTGGCAACGAGCCCTTGCCATAAACATTTATTCCCCTGAAAAACTAAAATGTAGAACCACATTTAAGAACCCTTTCCACTGAAAATCTTAGACACTTAGAGACATTCTATAGCCCTTTCATACATCAACATACATTGGTGTTTCCCTTGAAGAAAAAAAAAACACCAAGAGAGTAATTTGAGGCATATAACAGTTGGTTAAACAACCAATTCCACATGCATTCTTTTGGCAGTCAGATCGATCTTTGTTTCTGCCACATACATACATATATGTATGACATATGTACGTACTGTTTACCCCCGGCAGCCAACCTGTTGGCAATTTCTGTTATCGCCGTGGCCAACAGAATGGAATAACGAACAAATAACGACTTCAACGACAAATGCAAATGGCTAAAGCATGGGACTGACTGGTAGCGATAAAGAGAGTGGGGAGAACCAAAAATTGATATACTAGCAATGAGCCACGCGGTTCCTGGCACTCCATAATATCTCTCCATATTCTCCTCTATTGCCAGCCAGAGAGCTCTTATCACTAATTACAGCCAGCCGCGTCACCCCCCTAAATGCACATGGCTGTGGTAGCAGAGGGATGGAATCCCACTAATACAATCAATTTCTGGGGCAGGTCATTTAACCCACTGTGGGGCCGCCGGGCACTTTCATTAGCATATAGATTCTAATTAGCTTCCACCGCTAGAAGACACCACCAAAAAACAAGTTTCCGCCGACATGTGATGAGGTAATATTAAAAGAATAAAACGAATTCGAATCTACTATACATATATCAGAAATATAGATCTGTTATGTTATGCCTGGGCAAATCGTAGTAATTATTGTGTATAGACACAAACAAATTAATGGCTTCAATGAATCTCACACGAGTGTGCACACGAATAACACATAGTACGGATGTGATTTTTTTTTCCTTTGAAACCTCAGGGCATGGCCAAGCCAGGCCAGGCCAAACCTGTGATCCCCACATGTTGCTTTCGCCTCTGTTAATGATTGCAGTTCCCCGAATATATGCGACAGCATTCAAAATTTCTAATTATACAAACGTTCCATCCCAAACGCAAGTTATCGCATAAAACAATCTTTACGGGGCGTGGATTTTTTTGGTTTTTCCTAAAACAAAAACATGTGTGTTGGGAGAATAGAAATTATTGTCTGGGGAATTGATGGTGGGCATAACTCAAATTCAATGCATTGGAAGACCAGCAGAATGCGTCTTGAGAGCATTGTTAATCGAAAATGTTAGCACAAAAATCGCACAAGAAAGCCCAAGTGTACTATAAATAGGAAATCAAAGAGAGCTGGGAATCAAAACAATAAAAAAAGAGACATTTAGGGCTTGATGAAAGTCGAATTTTAAATTCTCTTTGTGCATTTAAATTAAAATTAAATGAGCTATCCGATAACCCTGATCTGATACAACAAATAAAACCCTGAGGAAAGGATTCGTCTGGCACTAGTGTCATCTTCCTTTTACTACAGTAGCTGACCAGTTACAGTTATATGTAAATTATATCATAATTGGATAAATAGCCTTGCTTCAAATGTCTGCTACTACACAAACCAATCGATAATATTGCAATTCCACTCGTTAGTAAGTACGTCTCCAATTGGCCCAACAAACACCTGTCTAAACGCTTTGAGACTCTCACTGTTTACGTTCCATTTCTTTAACCTCTGATCCGACTATGAATCACATTTGCATTTTTTTCTAATTCTGGAAACTGCTTTTAGCACCCCATATAGTAGAATATACTGGTAAAAACAATTCTGGAGCTTGACCGCAAGATTATGACAACCATTATAACCTGTAGACCATTAAAAATCACAACGTCACGCCTGATAAATAATTCAAATTGTCTCACAAATCGCTCCAAAGTCTAAAAACACCCACAAATGGGGTGTAGAGTATAAGCAGCAACTGGTGATATCGCGCTGGCAACTTAATTGAAAGGAATTGTGTGCCTGTCTAGATTGCGTATATTCATACGTGAGACCTCTTATCAAAGCCCAAGAGGCACACAGCACAAACACAGAAAAGACATAGCGTGAGAGGAGAGGGAAAATTAAAGAGAAGGAAACAATATCTTCTCTCGCTCTCTCGTTTCACCATCTGTTTGTGTTGTTACGGATGTCATGGCGGTGGCGGGCGATGAGCTCATCAAGACGCATGTTTATGTTGCACTGCATTTCGCACAGATTGCATTTCAAAGTGCATTGCATTCCACGGGAATTCTTGGAAGGAGTACGCCGGTGCAGTGCATATGGTGCATGGGGGGGCATGTGTTTCATGTCTCACACGCAGCGGCACGCTCCATAAATGGGGTAAAAAGTTTATTGGGAAGCAACAAACCACAACTAAAATATAGAGCACGGGTCGGCTTTGGGCTTCCACGTGCATGGAATGGGGAATAAGAGTCGGTCGGGTCGGGGCTTTGGCTTCCATGTGGACGGAATAGGAATGGGAATGGAAATAGAAATGTGTGTGTGTGGTGTGCGGGTAATTACCATCTGCTATTGTCCAGCGTATTTCACTTGTAACCGGATCGATGGCCGTCAGACCGCCACCCAAAGTGGAGAACACCATCAGGGCCTCCTCATCGCGAGCCAGGTCCGTGCAGTCCTGCAGACAGTAAAGTATGTTAAAAACTCAAATGATGACCAGCATAACCACATAATTTGATGAAATATTTAATTGACATTTGTGGGACATGCGTAAAAACCACCCGGCTGGCAGGCTGACTGCCTGCCCTTTTGCGTGCCCGCCTCTTACCGTCTTTTCTTCACTGCTGCTGCCACTCACAACTTCTGCCGAGTCGGTGGCCTTAGCTGATGCAATCGAGCCGCTGGCAAGCAAAAAAAACACGCTACAAACTAAAGCGTAGAATCTCATTTTGCACAACATCGAAGGAACAAAGAGGGGCAGAGAGAGGGCGAGAGAAAGACCGTGTACAATATTGGGGTTTTTTTTGCACTTGCAATTAGTCTTTGTTGTATAACTCTGGCATATTTTCATGCCCACTTATTTCATTCAATTTCTAAACACTTCCAGCACTCGCAGTGGCTTAATTCACGCATTTTCTTTCCATTTCACATTCACTTAAGTCCATTATTTCCATTCGCCATTGTTGAGAATTTGTAGTTGAATGAGCTCCTCTCTCTACCAGTGCTGTAAATCAACCACTAGAGTGCCACCGATCCATCGCATTTTGTGGCTTATCGCTATCGGGACAAGGTTTATACGGAGCATTTCAATTCTTGAATTTGCAGAACGAACAAAACGACGAACAAAACAAGTGAAAAGCGACGAATTTAAGAAATTCGTTCAACCAATTTATAAATGCAAGTCCATCTGATCAAATTGTATGCATACACGATCCTTTGACAACTGTTTATGAACTGATTTCGCAAATTGATCTTCGTATAAACAGATAAGTTGGCCTATCGATAGACCGGTCGGTATCGATACGTTACACAATAATGCGGACACTTTTGAGTAATTATTTATATAAACGCCTTGTTCATACGGATATTGTGGGAAAATATGCCAAGCAGCAGCCGCACAACCTCAAGGGCAAGAGCAAGAGCTCACAGGAGTGGCTGACACGGCAGCTGGCCGATCCCTACGTGGAAAAGGCGCGCATGATGAACTATCGCTGCCGGAGTGCCTTCAAGCTGCTGGAAATTGCCGACAAATACAAAATCCTGAAGCCGGGCGACGCTGTCCTGGACTGTGGAGCGGCCCCAGGCAGCTGGACACAGGTGGCAGTGGAGCGAAGCAATGCCCATGGCAAACAGGAGCGGGCGCCAGTTGGAGCAGTCTTCAGCATCGACCTGTTGCATTTTCATGCCGTGCCGGGTGCCACAATATACGGCGGCATGGACTTCACCACCACCGTGGCACAGCAACGTCTAAGAGAAGCACTCGCTGGCCGCCAGGTCAACTGTGTCCTCTCCGACATGGCGCCCAATGCCACAGGCGTGCGGATGCTGGACCAGGAAAGCATCACAAATCTCTGCTACGAGGTCTTGCGTTTCGCACTGGCAATGTCCGCACCGCAGGCCAATCTGGTGGTCAAAGTGTGGGACAATGGCGATGTGCCCAAGCTGGAGCGGGATATGTTAAAGTTCTACGATAAGGTGAAGCGGGTGAAACCGCGCGCCAGTAGAGGCGACTCCGCGGAGCATTTTCTGGTGGCACGCGGGTACAAAGGAGCGACGGCAGCGTAAACTCAACATGATTTATTTAAGATAAGATCATTACAAATATAGAAATCTATTTAAAAGCCAATTTTAAGTGTACCCGCTTAGGTAAAGCTAATGCTTGTAGTGCGTCAGATGGGTGATCATCTCGTAGAGCCACCTGGGCTGATCGTGAGGAGCCATATGTCCGGCATTGCGCACCATTATCTCCACCAGATGACCAGCGTGCTTCACATATCCAGCCACCTCTCCGTCAATGCGCCAGATCTCGCGTGGAGCCACCTTGTAGCGATCGGAGGCAGGGAATTTCAGGTGATTGAGGTAATTCCTGGTCAGAGGATACGCGACAATGATGTCCAACTGGCCGCTGTAGATGCACACCGTATAGTGGGCCAGGAGTTCGGCTATCCATGGGGCCACACTGTCCATCACGTCGTTCTTCAGGTGCAGCTCAACCTTGTTCTCCTTGTCGAGATCATGGAAGGGTTTGTTGCCCACATGGATGGAGCGACGCGTTTCACCGGCCTGCAGGAAATTGCCCAGGTTGGCGCCCGAGTTGTCGTGCGTTTTCAGATAGTTATAGTACCAATTGAAGCCCGTGAGGTTGCTAAAGAGCGAGCCATTGGTGAGGTCGCCGTTGATCAAAGAGTCGAAGACATTGAACGCACATTCCATGTCGTGGTTCTTGATACAAGCGGCCCCCTTGTCCTCAGCCTCATGGAAGCTCTGCAGGCCATTGTCGTCGATGAGGCCAAGCTGATACAGATAGTCGCCGTACTTGAGCTGATGCAGTGGATCCGACAGCCCGTTGCCAATGGCCACACCCTTAAGCGGCACATAGACGCGCGTCTCGATGGCATTCTGCACCATGTGGATGTGATAGGCCAGCGCTGGGACATATTTGCCAGCGTAGGACTCACCAGTTACCCAGAAGCCACTCGAGTTGCTCCACTCGAAGAGCTCATACAGCTGCATCACGGCCTCGTGAAGATTGCGACCGACATCCTTTTCGTTTTTGGCATAGCCCTCGTCCTTGTCCGTGAAGCTGAAGCCCGTGCCCACGGGATTATCAATGTAGATCAGATTGTGCGTCTTGCTCCAGGTGTAGTTTCGCTTCTGCAGCTTGCTATGGGCATCCAGCTCCAGCGGGCCGTTTTCCGTAAACAGACCAAAGAGAGAGGACGCGCCGGGACCTCCCTGGAGCCACAACACCACCGGTGCATAGGCTGCATCCTCCTCCGCGGGAAAGTACCAAAAGAACATGTTCGAATTGAATCCCTTGTCCACCGTCAGATATCCCGAATAGCTCTCAACGCCATGATACTGGGAGCCTACGACGCGGGCCAACTTCTGCACTTGCTCCCTAGGGATGGAGGAATTCAGAATGAGGGGCGTGAGGAACAGCGGCTCGCCGGGATCGACGCCATCCTCGAAGAACTTGTATCGTGGATACGGATTGATGAAGCTACGCCTATAGGGGCGTTCCCCTTCGTCAGCTGCACTGCTGCAGGCTGCGACAATCGCGACGATAATTAAAACTACGCAGTGATTTGCAGTTTTCATTGTTGCTGTTCTGTGCTCTGCCACCCAAGAACTGGAAGACAATAGTGGATTACCAAATGCTTTGTTTGGCTGTAAAACACCCCCAGCCTACTCACCACTCGACTGATAAGCAAGTCTAATCAGTACTTGCCTTGCAAAGTTTTTTTTATTTTTCTGCGAAAACCGGCAAAAATATAAAAACGGATTGAATTGGAAGTGTGACCACAGCTGGCCAAAATACCAAGCAAGGGAGGCGGGACTTGTAACAGACAGTGTTGGAAATAGTTGGAATAGTTTTTTGTTAATTTATTTTATCCTGTTTTATATGGTCAGGATCAAGCGACCCGACCCGTTTTTGTCTGGCCAACACATAATGTTCCCCAAGGAACATAACAGCCTAAATTTGAATAACAAAATTTCAATGGAGTAACCAAGCTCGCTTTCCAGCACTTGTCATTCCAGCGTCAAAACTTCTGCTATTTCGGCCAATTTGTTTTTGCGGCGTCGGGATAAACAAACTACAAAATGATGGACACGTTGGACTACATAACGCTCAGCAATCCCGTGAGCAAGGCGGTAATCTCGTCGGGATCGGCCATCTTTCGCGCAATTGTAATTATCCATTATTCCATTTCTGTTGGTATTCCCTTTACCGTTGTTTTTTTTTTTTGTTTTTCGCAGGGGCTGCGACCAAAGCAATTGGTTCCAAAGGAGACGCAGACCCTGCGCCCGGTGATGCATCAGATGTCGACTGGGTCGCTGCACGCTTTGGCCGGCAGCCATTATCACTTTGTGCGTCTGGCCGGCTTGGGTGGCGCCTCGGCCATATTCATGGGCGCCTATTGCAAGTACGTCCTCAGGGACATTAAGGACCCAAAGGAGCAGCTGGACTCGCAGGCCTTTGCTGATGTCGCCAATCGCATACACTTTTTGCATTCGTTTGCCATGATGGCCATGCCACTGGTCCACTACCCCATACTCGTAAGTAGTCCCATTCCAGGTGATTCCCCCAATTATAGAATTGTTTTTGTGTTGTTTTTGGTTTATTCATAAAGCTTTTCGGTATTTCTTTTTGTGTAAAGTTACGATTTCTGAACGGAATTTACAACAACTCGCGTTACGATTTCTTCTTCGAGTGACAAAATGAATGGAAATCTATCTCAAACTCTCGACTGATCGATCTCTGATTCTGATACGCCTTACGACTTCTAATTGACATTCTAGTGCGCTGATTGATTGACTTTTCTCAGGTTACAAAAAACCTTTTGTTGAGCTATGAACAAACACACATTGATTTATGCTAAGCGTTTGCCATCCATCCATCCACTCTATATATATATATATAGTACATATATGTATGTATGTATATTGTGTTGTATATGAAATGTTTTCCAAAGCTAAAGCTAAATTGTTCAACAACCACTAATTGCAGCTTACAAAGTAATTTTCAATACCATTTTGTTGGGGGTGTTTAATTCATTGTGATATGGATGCAGGTTCATTTCATTAGCTGATATGGGGTTTCAGGAACAGGAATATGGAGACTTACAATTGATTTCTCTTTCGCTTTTAAAAATGTGTGTACCAAAAAGGCATCGATTCTTCCATTATGTTTTTGTTATTGGGTTTTACATTTTTGTTTTGTTTCGTTTTGTTTTTTTGGATGTGGTTATCATCAGCCTTATTTGATAAGTAAAATGTGAGAGGAGCCATTCGCAGGCTTCTCCTCTTTTGTTCGGGTCTTTAAAGCCAACAACTAAAGCTAACATCAAAATATGCACACAAGGCTCCACTGCCTGCCTCATCTATGGTAATCTTAAGTTCTATGACAACTATGGCTAATTCTGATACTCTCTCCTGTAGACTGGCTCACTGATGACCACTGGCACACTGCTCTTCAGCGGCTGCATGTACTATCGTGCATTGACCGGCGAGAAGCGTTTCCAGGCCTATGCCACTGTGGGTGGCTTCTGTCTGATGGCCGCTTGGCTGACGCTGGCCATATAGGAGGCTCACAATCTATCGTCTATCGTCTATGGGGGGAGGGGCGAATCTTAAGATTACGATTAAGCTATAGGCAACGTAAAATCTAAAGCTAAAGCCTGTCGCGAAATATGCAGAATTAATTCTTTGTCGCTGAAGTTCTATAAATATATATTTATATAGACTATATATAGGATTACAAATAAATCTCTAGGAGGCCTTGCATCTAATGGAAGATACTTCTTTGTTTGTTTGTTTTTGTGTGTGTTTAAATGCGTTTAAATTTCTTAGTATATATATACAAAATGCAGCAGTTCTAGAAACGGAAAAGTTACAAATTCAAAAAAAAAAAACAAAAATCAGTTTCAAAACAAAAAGAGAACAAAAACAAAAATTGTTACATTTATTGTATACCTGCACACATTAATAAATTACTATAAAAAACACACATTTACATATACATATGTTAATACTAGGCATAACATTTCATAGAATTCTCTCTTTACTTTTGTTTTGTTTTCTTTTAGTTATTGTCGTTATTTGTTGTTTACTGGAACACATAATACAAATGCAACGCGACCTTTTGAAGGTCGGAAATGCATACAGTTTTTTGTTTTGTTTTTGTCTTTAGCTAAAATTAAATGTATTGCACATATAAAAAACAGTCACTCCTCCATCTACCACTCTGCTCCTCATCCTGCTCATTCTTTGTTCTTATTGTCCTGCTGTTTTGATTTCCTATGTTTCATGCGCACGTTTCGAACCTCGTGTCAAAGGTTAACTCCTAGTTTATACACACACTCGTTTGTCTAACAATTAGTTTGATTTGTTTTGTACACAATTTGTAGGGGGCAGGGGTAGGGCTAGGGGGGTAGTAAAAATTCATTCAGTTATTGGGAGGGGGTGGGTATCCTGTATCCTGTGCTATCCTAATAACTTCTGCTTGGAGGCCTCCGCAAAGAGGAAGGTCTTCTGTATGCGCGCATTGGCCGCCGGATGATTCGTAATTGGTTCCAGTATCTTAAGTATATAGTCTTTGAAGGCCTTCGGTACGGCGAAATGTCAAGAATCTTTCTTGATCCGCAGATTATCATCATGGGCCTTTTGTTGGGGATAAAGAAAAAATATTAAACAATAATCATAAATTTAGAGTAATTTTTGTTCGTACCTTTTGTGCCACTTTGAGCAGCGCATCGAATGTCGAGTCTCCCGTTTGCTTCACCATCGAATGGAACACCTTCTTCTCGCTGGTCGTCAGCAGCTCGAAGGGCGATCCAAACTCCACCGCCTTGCCGGCATCCATTACCAGCACCTTGTCCGAATCCATCACCGTGTGCAGGCGATGGGCAATCGTCAGCACTGTGCAATCCTTGAACTTATTCCGAATCGTCGTCTGAATGAGGGCATCCGTTTGGGGATCCACATTGGCGGTGGCCTCGTCCATCACCAGAATGCGATTCTCGCGTAGAATGGCACGCGCCAGGCAGACCAGCTGCCGCTGTCCCACGCTGAAATTGGTGCCGCCCTCGGAAATCTTGCTCGACAGGCCACTGGGCAGATCCGCGACAACTTCCTTGAGCTTCACTTCCTCCAGGGACTCCCACAGCTTGGCATCGCTGTACTCATCAAAGGGATCCAGGTTGTAGCGCATCGTTCCAGAGAAGAGCACCGGTTCCTGGGGGATAATGGAGATTTTGCTGCGCAGATCGTGCAGTCCCAGATCGTTGGTGTCGCGCCTATCAATCACAATCGATCCCTCGTTGTAGGAGAGTCGGAACAGGGCATTGATCAGCGAGGATTTTCCAGCGCCAGTGCGTCCCACAATGCCGACCTTCTCGCAGCCCTGAATGGCAATGTTCAGCGATCGCAGCACATAATCTGCGGCCTTGTCGGGGAAGTACTTCAGCGAGAGATCATCGAAAATAATCTTGCCCTCCTCTGGCCAATCCTTTGGCGGCTTCTTGCTCGGCTTCGACTCAAAGTCACCCTCTGGCTCCAGATCCTCGTACTCCACCACACGCTCCACCGCTGTCATGGTGTTCTCCAGCTCCGCTGACTGTCGCATGCCCCACTGCACCATGCCCGTCATGCCCATCGCTTGGGTAATAGCCAGACCCACATCGCCGCCATTCTCCGGGGAGAAAAAGAAGAACGAGATCGTGATCACAGCTATGTAGACGACACAAACGCAGTCCAGCCAGTAGCCAAAGGCGCGGCTGGTGGCCAAAAACATGTAGTAGCCAGAGCTGTGCATATCCTGGTAATTGTCAAACTCGGCAATCAGTTCCTTCTGCGCGCCAAAGGCACGAATCGTTGGCAAACCATTCAACGAGGCACTCAAATGGGAGTAGATCGGGGATCGTGCTGTGAAGACAAGTAAATTAGATGCTATATTTCAATGGGAAGCAGGCCAAAAACCACTCACTGACTGCCTCCAAACGCTTGACATCTCGCGAGGTATTCAAATAGAAGGATCGCAGCACATAGAAGACGACAACGAGGAAAAAGGTGGCCAAAATATACCACACATTGATGATGCACAGGACAACGACTATGCCGAGTATCGCTAGGAATATCTGCATGACATCCATCATCACGGAGGGCAGTATCTCATCCACTTGTCCCAGATCCTTGGAGAAACGATTCAGTATACGGCCAGAGGGGTTCGTGTTGAAGAAATGCATGGCCGCACGCGTCACACCCTTGAACATTGTGTTGTGCAGCGTTGTGGAGCTCCTCATGGCCAGGTAGAAGAACAGCATGCTCCTCACGAGCGAGAAGACGATCACCGAGACATTTATGCCCGTAAAGTAGTAGATGTCCTTGGGGTCTGTGTCGGAATTGATGCGGGTTTCGGGAAAGGCGCGACGCAGACGAGCCATAAAGGTGTCCCGCTCTGCTTCTCCGTTTTTGTTAACCCTGCAAGAGATTCATTCATTAGTGATTTTCCCTGAATTTCCTTTGCTTTATTTACTCACCAATAGGACAGGAAAATGTCACCGCCAGAGCCGAGAATCTGTGCCCCCACGCAGAAGAAGGCAAACACAATGAACAGTCCATAGCCATTGGCACCGAAATACTTCTTATACAGCGACATGCCAATGCGTCCCTCCACGCGCGCCTCCTGCGTTTGCATGGGCGAGTCCACGACCACAGACTCCGCCGCGGATTCCATGGAGGAGATGCTGCCATGACGATCGCGCAGTTGGCTGTTCTGACGCGAGAGCTCCTTCTTCTTTTCGGCATCCCCGCTGGCGCCCTCATCCTTTTTGCTCGGGTCCGTCAGCATTTGGGCAAAGTCCAGGCCACTCTGGCACATCGACTCGTAGGTGCCCATGGCACTGATCTTGCCCTTGTCCATGATCACAATCATATCGGCCTGCTCCAGGAACTGCAGCTGATGCGTCACCAGGAGCACAATATTCTCGCGCAGGAATCCGCGCATGCACTGATCGAACAGGTGGCGTCCCACATGGGTGTCCACAGCACTGAGGGGATCATCCAGCAGATAGATATCCGCCTTTCGATAGACCGCACGGGCCAGGCTAATGCGCGCCTTCTGTCCGCCAGAGAGTGAGGCTCCTCGCTCGCCCACAATCGTCTTGTCCGAATAGGGCAGCAGCTCGAAGTCCCGCTCCAGGGCACACTTTTTGACCACAGTGCGATAGCGATGCTTGTCCATGGGCAGGCCAAAGAGTATGTTCTGCCGCACGGTGCCCGTGAAGAGCCACGGCTCCTGGGAGGCATACGACAGGGTTCCATTGACCTTCACCGATCCCGCATCCGGATTGAGCTCACCCAGAACCGCCTGAATGAGACTGGACTTGCCAGAGCCCACTGGACCGATGACTGCCACCAGTTGGCGTGGCTTGAACTTCAGCGTGAGGTTGTCCAGCGTATTTTCGTTGCTCTTTTGATCCCACTTGGCCTTCAGTTTGCTAATGTTGATGGTGGGCTCTGCCCCGCTGGTGCGACGACTGTTGGGCTTCAGCATACCAGTCGCTTGGGCTGTGGGCTCCGACACGAGTCCCGCCGCCTTTCCCAGTTTCTGCTCATCCAAATCCTCCGACTTGTCGCGCACTTTGGTCTCCTCGTGCAGCATGAACGTCTGAATGCGACGAATCGAGACCAAAAGCTCTGCAAACTGCGAGATGCCCATGGGGAAATACACCGTCATGGTGTTCCTCAGGATGTTGTAGTATGCCGTGATGACGAAGGCCTTCTCTGCGGTCAGGAGCTTACCCAGCAGCACGAATCCCACGAGGCTGACAAACACCGATATCCGTGTGACAAACATAATGAAACTCTGGAGGGTGCCGCGTATATAGTTCACATTTCGAATGGCATTCATCTCCTTGGTGCGCACATAGTTGATCATCTTGCTGAATGGGATCTCCCAGGCGTACATTTTGATCACTTGAATGCCCGAAATGATCTCATTCATCATCCGTACACGTTCATCTGTCCTCAGGGCAGTGCGCAGACGCAGCACGGAGGTCTTTTTGCCCAAATACGCTTGCAGTGGGATAAACATCAGCATCACAGCCACGCCAAAGAAAGCAGAGACACCAATCTAAAGGAACAAACCGAAGAGAGATTAATAAGAGTTCTACTCCACGACATAAAGGATGTATTCGTACCTCTCTGTACATAAGATATGTGATAATTCCAATCTCCACTGGCCCCAGCCATAAATAATTCATGTGTATGACCGACAGATCCAGCCGTCCCACATCGTTCGATATGAGATTAACCACCTGTCCGATTGTGGTGTCCCCCAGCGCTGTTCGACTCAGACGCAATGCCTTGCGATATATCATGCCTGCAACAACACACACAGAGAGAGAGAGAGAGAGAGATGATCATTTATCATGCTCCTCTAGGGTTATGCCCCATTCCACTCCACTCACTTGTCATGGCTATCCTGGCCTTCATGCCCAGATGGAACATGCCCAGCATATAGGGATGCATAAGCAAGACATTGAAGGCACTACACAAGATCACGCCCAGGGCGTACAGATATGCTTTCGTTTGGTTCTCCCCATCGCCCTCCTGGTTGCTCGAATCCGCATAGAAGGCCACCAGGCCGCCCAGAAAAAGAGGTTGAGTGACGCTGTAAATAAATAATCATACAATAAAGGATCATAAATAACTGCCCAGCCCATCCCTTTGCCAGTGTGCGTGCGGGCGTGGTCTTACCGGAATCCAATCTCCAATATGAACAGCACTACGCCAAGTCCCGCCAAGCGCCAGCCAAATACATCCACGGAGGCTTTCAGTAGGCTGGGTGTCTTCTTCTTTTTGCGCTTCTTCTCCACCTCCCGCTCCCAGGCTTCGCTCAACTGGGCGCCCAATGTGTCTGTGGGGCATACAAGATTAAGATATCAGCAAAATAGACTCCAAAAGGTGGAATGTTGGTGGATGGGTTCAATAAATTATTCGCGATAACAAACAATGTCAGAACAGAGTTTACTCTGTGCTCGGCTATTGTAATTGGCAGATGCGACAGATTGCTTATTATGATATCACAAACAGGGGAGCCACAAACAAGGTATGTCTGTCTAAGGCAAATACCGATAAAAAAAAACAAAATGCAACCGAAAATGGGTAGAGAACTGAAAATTTAAATTTATTTATTTGCCAATTTGATGGATCCCTTTCCTTCGAGTAACTTCCAATAAAAGTTCCAATTAATAGGTTTTTTTTTGTACTCTAGGGGTAACGTTATCTATGGAGCTTAAATCGAATGCAAGATTCCAAAACAACAGCCAAAGATTACGACCCATAGACACTGCCTAATCTTTGCTACTAATAGTCATTGTTTTTTGGGATTTACCACCTTGTAAACTGTGCATTGTCCATGATTTGGCTTCCAATCATGAGTTATGGCTGCCAACAAACGCAAATCCCAACCAGCTGGCAGCTGCTCCTACCATAAGGGGAAACCATACGACCAACTGTGAGTCGCGAATCTCAAATACTTTTTTTTATATGGAACTTCCGGAAAGCTTTACCTTCGAAGGGATTAAAATTTCATGAAGATTACTTAATGGCATATCAAGTGGTAGTTGATCATTTATTTTCGAGAGATATGCGCCATTGCATAAGTCGCCTGTCGAACGCAGAAACCACTCAACGGACTATCTATCTATCTATCTCACTGAGGGGAGTAAGTACATAAACCGCAGAGATAGCTAATTGTATTATTTGTATGTATAGTATCTCCCTATCTACTACTAGAAGTATAGGTAGGATAGGTATAGGGCATGCTATCAATTATTTTTGGGCAAAAAATTAAATTAATGCGGCAAAACGAACGCCTGTCAAAGTTATCACCGGGGGATGATATGTCACAATTCTCGAGACAGTTTTGAAATATTTGAATGATATGTGAAAACTCAAAGGTCTCTAAAGGATGATAACAGATAAAGATAGCTCGGATATAAGATAATGTTGGTAAGTAAGTAAAATTCAATGAATGTGCATAATATCCAGCAAGGGACTATCTTATCTGGGGCGGGATTAGGGCCACAAAATGATCTCAATGAAACTGGTTTTTTATATGGGGGCACATAAAATGTTGTGATCCTTCAAATTGGTAATGGAATAACCCAAAATGTCCCCAACCTGAATCAGAAACTATATTTTCCAGTGATGGGCCACATTCTAAGCCACTATCTAATCGTATTAGTCGGTTGTGGTACCTTGAAGTGCCCCTGCTGTCGGTCTCGGTCTCGCACTTGATTCGGGAAATGCTGTCTGTGCAGGGAGATAATATTGTAAAGGTGCTTATAGCCAGTCTTATAGCCTGCATTTGGAGAAGTAAGGAAGTGTGTCGACCCACTTCATGCCAACGGGGATTACACAGCTCTCCAAGGCACGAGGGACAAAGATCATTGAAAATGAAACCAAATGAACATTGAACTTCGGTACGATATGATTTCTTTTGGTCTATTGGTATTTGGACTTGGGCTTAAAAGTCTCGTATTCTTAGGTGAAAGTCTCTTCTTTTTATTGGGATTATAATAGCCCCATCTATTGACAGTTACTGGGTGCCACATGACGTCACGTATCTACACTATAATCTCGCTTACGTGCTGATAAGAATTTCTCTTCTCATTCTTAATTTAGTGAAACCCCTATCAAAATGCTCGCGCAATGGATTTTCATTTCCTAATTAAATTAAAAAAGATTGAGATTATTTATTGAATGGCCCTGTGAAAGCTTTCCATCATTATAAATGGCCATAAATTATTGATATGCTCATTTATTATGCAAGCCACACTCCACACACACGCACCGATTCGATGGTTCTCTCTCTTTTGATTTTTGGTACTTTATGTCGATATAAATGACTCAATTAGTCGGAAATATTTGTATATAAACAAAAAGCCATGTACTCACCCGATTTGTGTTCCTTCAATGCTCGATAGAGATCGTTTTCATCCAGAGTTTTCTTGCGGCCCTTGAAAAATGTGGGCATGGCAAAGCTGAATGGGTAACAAAGATAATCAATAACTAATTTAGGTATTAATATTTTAAGGAAAAACTCACCAGAACATCAATGACGAAAAGATATTTGAGGTCTCGCGCGGATTCTCCGGCAGTTCATCGGCTTTCATTGATTGCATTTTGTTGGTCTGGTGGTCGTTTGGCTAAATTCTTTCACTTCCTGGTCATTGGTCGGGGGTATCTCTTCTTTAATATGTGTCGCTATAAAATAGATTTAAAATTAGTACTAATTTAACTTTTTATTCCCCAATATTTGACCCATATCTGAGGATATTCCTATCTCCATTAAGTGTGTTCTTTGGCAACAGAATTCTACATTCTTCAGATTTTTGACGAATGATGACTTGATAGTAATTTTTTTCTGCCGTTTTATTTGGACTATTAGTAGATTAGCGTTGGTTTTATTTTGTGTTTGTTTCGGTCCCAGGCGATAAAAGTGACGCGTTTTGATAGAGTTTTACGATCTGTGGCACACACATTCCCAAAATGAAAAATCCTTCACTGATTTTTAATCACTTCATTTCCACATAAATATTACGAGTATGTCCGTTTTAGAATTAGTTCAATTAATGGGAAAAACCCATTGATGAGTCTGATGCCACTCACAGAGAATTGACACTTGGATGTTGCGGGAGGCTTCTCGCTCACACGGCTAACGGCAAAAACTTGGCTCGTGGCCAGGCGGGCCAACGCTTTTATAGCCCCAAAAAGGGGGGAATGCAGCGACTGCCGGTTGGGTCGTCGCGACAGGTTCGTGCGCGTCTTATCGGAATCGTGGGGCGATCGTACAAGATGGGAGCGTGTCCAGCCAGCGAGAGAGCAAGAGAGCAGGCACACGGTACAGCAATAAGAAGGTAAGGCAGTCTCCTGGTAGTCTCTCACTGAATCAGATTTTACCGTTTGTTGCCTTTTCGGCTTCCTTACACACCTTGAATTCGATCAAGCGGACAAGCACGAACATGCACAGAACACGTCCTACATTGAGAGAGCATCCTCTCTAACATGTAACTGCATGTTGTTGCTACATCTCTCTCTTACACACATGCACACGCACACAACGCTTTTGGCCGCCTTTTAATGTTTAAATTTGTTGCACATTGAATATACACTTACCACTCACTCGCCTCGGCGGGCAGCAACACGACTCCAAACAAAACAAAACGCAAACAAAAACTTAACGGGGGAAACGAATAGCAAGAACTTCAAAACTGACGGCAAATCAATAAGACAACTAAATAGGATTCCTATTGCAATGCTTTTGTACACTTTGTGCAAGTCACTCAAGATGGAGGGGGCTGGTATTGATTGGTATTACTGTTTAAACATAATTCAATGCTCTATTTATTTTTTTTTGTGCTTAATTTACAAGTTGTGTGCAGAGAAAAACATAAAAAACGTTAAACAAAGTTCCCAGTGCGTGCGCGTTAAACCTGCGCAGAAACAGTGCTGTGCAATGTGCCAGCACTCTGCTAGTCGTTGCTCAGCACTATGAAGTAGTGCTGCTCCTCCCCCGTTTCCTCTTCGGGCAAATAAATTATCTCCTGGAATTCCAGGCTCTCATGCACCACTTCCTCATGCACCTCCGGCTCGTATTCAATGGCCTCCTCGTACTCCTCGCAAGGCAAGACAATTTCCACTGCCTGTGTACTGTCTGCATCTGCATCCGGCAAACTGTCTGACTTTTCTTCCATTTGCTCCATTTCCTGAACTCTAGCACAGTGTTTTTTCGACTTCTTGTGGCGGAGAAAGCTGTATCGGGAGTTGGTTTTGTATTCGCAAAGGTCGCAGTCAAATATCCCGCGGTCGTAATTGTTCAATTTATCATCAGATTCATCCTCAGATTCAGGCGGGGTGAATTCTACGCCTTCACCATCCGTCATGGGTCCTGATGTGATGATTTTATTGTTCCGCCTCAAGATTTCCATAATATATCGATGCTTTTCTGTCGTCTTGTGCAGCATAAAAGATTTTTTGCGGGATGTTGTGAATTCGCAAGCGGCACAGGTGTAAATGTTTCCATCGGATTCCTGCGATGAAGTCGAGTCACAATCACGGCGCACCGGCACTTTATTTTTTTTTAGCAATGGATCGCCTAGTGCCTGCTCCCTACGGCGATGTTTCGTCGACTTGTTGTGCCTCAAAAAACAGAATTTTTTGGCAGTTGTATACGAGCACAGGAAGCATTTGTACAAAGGTCTCTCAAAATCGGAGTCTGAATCTGCTATATTCGCCATGGCATGGATGTGCTTCCTGGAACGACGGTGACGACGAAGGTCCCGTCTCCTGTCCGTCGTATAGTTGCAGCCATCAATCATGCAAGCGAGTCGTTTGGTTTTATTCACCGACCTATCTTCCTGTTCCCGTTCTTTAGGTTCGATGTTTATGAATGCTGCACAAGCAGAAAGGCCGTGAATATATATTGTTTTCCCATTGCCTGTTGCCATCTACTTACATTCCACCTCATCGTCGGATACACACTCGAGCGCTTCTATCTCGAAGAATTGCTCCTCGGACATGATGGATTTTGTTGTTGATGTTGTTGATTTTTTTTAATAACAAATATTATAAATTGTAAGAAGTGTGACCAGATAAAATATACCTCCTCCACCAAATTGTGAAGGAATAAAAAATTCGTATTTAGTTTATACCAACAAACCGGCAAAAATACCATAGCAACAATCTGTTGCTTCAAATTGGGCACACCAATTATTTTTAATTTTAATTAAATTAACAAGTTTTTTTTAGTCGTTTTTAGACGTTTTATGCAATATTTTAAAAAGTTAGTAACTAAGAAATAACCAACAGCCAACATGCAGAGTGTTTTCAGCCGCTCCCTGAATATAGGTAAGACAAAGTCTCCATGGACTTTGATCTCGATCGGTAGAATGGCTTTTTATATGCAAAAGATCTTTTACTGATAATTCTCTCAGCCCGCAGATCCGTGCCGATGCGGCAAATAGCCTCCATTGCCGCACTCCCCGACACCCATCAGATGCTGCAGAAGACCTGCCGCGACTTTGCCAACGCCGAACTGAGTCCAAATGCAGCGAAATTCGATCGCGATCACCTCTACCCGGCACAGCAGATCAAGCAAATGGGCGAGCTGGGCGTCATGTCGGTGGCCATTCCCGAGGAACTAGGTATTTACTGTGTGAAAATCGCTCCCCAAAGAATCTACAGGTTGTCTATGGTTCAACAGGTGGCACAGGATTGGATTATCTTGCGTATGCGATAGCAATGGAGGAGATCTCTCGTGGCTGTGCTTCCGCTGGGGTCATCATGTCGGTCAACAATTCTCTGTATCTGGGTCCACTGCTGAGCTTTGGCAATGCCGCCCAAAAAGAAGCCTTCATCACGCCATATACGACGGGTGAGCGTGTGGGATGCTTTGCTCTGTCGGAGCCGGGCAATGGTTCGGATGCCGGTGCTGCCTCCACCATTGCAACGGAGAAAAGCGATCATTATCTGCTGAATGGCACCAAGTCGTGGATAACCAATGGCTTTGAGGCGGAAGCCGCTGTGGTATTTGCCACGACAAACAAACAGCTGAAGCACAAGGGCATCTCCGCCTTTATTGTACCCAAAGGTCTGAAGGGCTTCTCGCTGGGCAAGAAGGAGGACAAACTGGGCATCCGAGGATCCTCCACCTGCCAGCTGATATTCGAAGACTGCGAAATTCCCAAGGACAGCATACTGGGAGAGCCCGGATTCGGTTTCAAGATTGCGATGCAAACATTGGATGCTGGACGCATTGGCATTGCCAGCCAGGCATTGGGTATTGGCCAGGCTGCTCTGGAGCTGGCCGTGGACTATGCCCAGAAGCGGCAGGCCTTTGGCAAACCCATCTCCAAGCTGCAGTCCATCCAGCAAAAGATTGCTGACATGTCGCTGGCAATCGAATCGGCGCGACTGTTGACCTGGCGGGCCGCCTGGCTGAAGGACAACAAACAGCCCTACACCAAGGAGGCGGCCATGGCCAAATTGGCAGCCTCCGAGGCGGCTACACTTTGCTCCCACCAATGCATTCAGATCCTGGGAGGCATGGGATATGTCTCTGATATGCCAGCGGAGCGCCATTATCGCGATGCTCGCATCACCGAGATTTACGAGGGTACCTCTGAGATTCAGCGTTTGGTTATTGCGGGCTCCATTCTCAAGGAGTATGCTAGTTAAGGGAAACGAGATCATTGTTTAATCCAGTAGTTAAAAGTGGAATTTTATATAAATCCTATTTTTGTGGTACTTTTGGTTTGTCTTGGTATTTTTTCTTGCGTGGGTGACTGATTCGGTATATTTCAGTATTTTCAGACTGTTGGCTCATTTTGGCGTGAACAAATTTCATTATTTTGTATTATCTATTTATTTTTTTAAACCGCGGTCACACTCTGCTGCGCGTTCTCTCGCGCACATTTGTACAAATTTCTTTATTTATTGATCATTTTTCGTTGCACGGCAATTAACACAATGCAATGGCCACAAGTACGTGGTAATGAAGCTGTTTACAATTGAAGTGCGCGATTTCGGCCAACAGAAAGTACGTTAGAAACGCCCCAATTGCCCCCGTCCATCTATCCGTCCAGCCATTGGGTCGGTGCCAGGAATAGAATAGCATAGCCAGCAGCCATGGACGTTGTTTGTGTAATTGATACCGTCGTGGGCGATCATCTGGAAGATCGCATCTGTGCCCTGGAGGAGGTCAAACGGGCCGTACAGGCGGCCGGAGCTAACTTTCAGCGTGTCCAGGTGGGAGTTTAATTGGAAATTCCTAACAAATACACTGTAACAAATTTTTTTGGCGTTTGTTGCAGTTTGAGAAATTGGACTTCGGCGAAACGAATGTGATGGAAACATTCTACAATGCCGATGTCGCGGTGATAGATTTGAGTGTTTTGGCCCAGCAGCGACCGCTTTCGTATCACTATGGTGTGCGGGAGAGCTTTGGCATGAAGGAAATCATCTTAATCTACAACGATGTGGAATCCAAACAGACGCTCAGCCTTAAGGTGTGTATTATCTCGGTTTTAGTTGGGGTGCGGGTGGGGGGTTGGCAGAGGTGTAATGCCCTGTGTGCCCTCTGTGTGGCACCCAGCCGCAAACATCTTATTGCGAATGATGCAACGGGCGGCATTTCCGATAAGATAAATGTTAAGCAATGTTAATATCTGTGCGTGTGTTCGTTCTGTTTGAAACGGCAGCCACAAGTCATGTTTCTTGACGATTGTTTGTTGTTTTTCTATTTCCGGTGAAGATATACCTCGTCTATTATTGTTATTTTTAATCGCACGCCCACGCAGACGTCCAACACTGGCGGCACACCTACACTGGCGGTCATTAAAATGTGTACACCTCTCTCTTTCTCTCTCAGGTCTCTTGTGGAAATTACTTGTTTCTCAGCTACAAACTGAATGCAGAGACCAACAGCTGCCTTTTGACCAATCAACCCAACAGCAAAGATCAGCCTGGCGACGGACGCGTGGGCACACTGCAGTGGCGTCTACGTAGAAAGCTTCAAGATGTGGAAATCCAATCAAAGTGAGTAGAAAATTGTCTTAATTACTGCTGCTAAAAGATATCCCGTTTTTCAGAGCACACATGCGGGAGAAGTTCCTGAGTGATATGCGCACAGCGAGGGATACGTATGCCACCAATGGAGCCAAGCTGCAGAGCATACTCCATGAGATGCGCAAGCGTCTGGACGATCCGCATGTCCTCTCCGGCGAAGTGGTGCACAGTTTTATGTGCTCGCTGCGGGATGTGCAGGACTACGATGCGATGGTGCGGCTGGTCAATGATCTAAAGAATATACCAAACACCCGCAAGTTTGTGGAGGCTGGAAACATGAGTTTCCTCTATGCCTTTGCCCTGAATCGCAGAAATCGCAAGGGGGACAGAGAGAAGGCCCTGGAGTCATCGCTGAAAGCCCTCGAGAAGAAGGAGAACCACTTTCCGGACATGCTGTGCCTGTGCGGACGCATCTACAAGGACATCTTTGTGGAGTCGGACTACACGGATGCCACCAGCCTGGCGCATGCCATCAAATGGTACCGCCAGAGCTTCGAAGTGCAGCCGAACGAGTACGCGGGCATCAATCTGGCCACCTTGCTGGTCATAGAGGGCAAGGAATTCAGCAACACGGAGGAACTGCAGCACATTGGCATGACCCTGAACAATCTCATCGGAAAGAAGGGCAGCCTTTCGACGCTCAGCGAATACTGGGATGTGGCCACATTCTTTGAGATTTCGGTGCTGGCCGAGGACTATGCCAAGGCTATTCAGGCGGCCGAATGCATGTTCAAGCTGAAGCCCCCGAACTGGTATCTAAAGTCAACGATCGGCAACATTTCGCTGATCCATAGGTTCCGCAAGAAGCCCGAGGATCGTATGCCCACCATCGAAGAGCAGGTATTTCAATTCTGGATGGATTTCTTCCTGGAGGCCACAAACACAGAGGAGATTAAGAACAGCATACGATTTCCCATATTGGTGAGTGTCTAAAATGAATTCCCCAAGGATCTTTGATAACCTCTTTACCCTTCTCTGATAGATACTCGAGCCACAGAAGATCTATATGCCCAGCTATGTGACCATCAATATGGATGCCGATGAGAAGTCCATACAGATTGTAAACATCTGTCTGGCCCACTCAAAGAACACCTGCAAGAAACTGCACGACTTCCTTTTTGTGGCCTCGAAAATCAAATCTGTGAGCCTCTACAAGCGTGACGATCGCTGCGCCTATCTTTATGTACATCACAACTCGGATGACTTTCAAATCTACTTTCCGTCATCCGAGTGCAGGCAAAAGTTTTATGATTTGATACTGGAAATGACGGCCGATCAGGAGGTGTTTGTTAATCTCAGCAATGATGATGCGCAAATAGAGGTGAGTTCTGAGTGGTAGAGTGATTTAAGTGATCACCTGTCATCGATAAATGATCGATAATCGTCCACAAACGATTTAATATGTTCATTTAATCATTTAAGGTTCGATAAATTATCTATAAACCGCTTAATATCCTCTTCCAGTACGAATACGATTACGATGAGCAGAATCGCAAGATGGTCCTGGGCAAGGGCACCTACGGCACTGTGTATGCCGCCAGGGATAAGCAAACGCAAGTGAGGATTGCCATCAAGGAGGTGCCGGAGAAGAACTCACAGGATGTGCAGCCACTGCACGAGGAGATCAAGCTCCACTCGCAGCTGCGGCATCGCAATATTGTACAGTATTTGGGCTCACGCTCGGAGGATGGCTTCTTCAAGATCTTCATGGAGCAGGTGCCGGGCGGCTCGCTCTCCGACTTGCTCGAGACCAAATGGGGTCCGCTCAAGGACAACGAGTCCACCATGGCCTTCTACTCCAAGCAGATACTCGAGGGCCTGAAGTACTTGCACGAGCAGGACATTGTCCATCGCGACATCAAGGGCGACAATGTGCTGGTGAACACGTACAGTGGGGTCGTCAAGATCTCCGATTTTGGCACCTCCAAGCGGCTGGCGCGCATCAATCCCATGACGGAAACCTTCACTGGCACCCTCCAATACATGGCGCCCGAGGTGATCGATCAGGGTGTGCGTGGCTATGGCCCGGCGGCAGATA